TTGAATCAATTAAAATTAGAAAATGGTTATCGATATACATTCGAAGAAATACAACCAAATTGGAAACCAAACTATTGTGAATATGCAAAAGCATCAATTAATTCACCATGGTTAATATTGACTCATTTGAAATCACCCAACAACAGTGAACAAAATCATATTCTATTATATTTTATTGCATTATTAATTGCAACTGGACCAATGCATTATTATACATATGATTTTGATTTACACAAAGCTGAAGTATTATATCGAGAAATTCATAGAAAAAATAGTCATTACATATTATTAACAAAAGGTGATGAACAATTTATCATACATAATTCTGTGAAAGAAACTCGTTATGAATTAATTGGAGATCCAATTATACGAAAAGATCATATTAGTTATGATTATATTTGTATAAGAAAAACTGATAATAAAAATTATTTCATTTCAAGAATAGAATGGGATCAATGTGATCAATCAAATGTAAAATTAACACATTCATTATTGAAATCAATTGTTTTATCATTTACTGTATATGAAAAAATATTGATGATTTCGAAACGAGATAATAAAGTTTTGATTACTGATGTTGCATTTTTACATGTAGATAATAATACTATTAAAGAATATTCATTACAAGTAAAATCTTTAAAAGATTTTTTCTATCGTAGTAAATATAAATCTGACATATGGATTTTTATAATATTGGCATTAATAATTGTCATCATTATTACCGGTATTGTTGTTTTTATGATTCCAAAAAAGAAAAACATAAAAAAATCATTTGATAAAATGAATTCTAAATCATCATCGAAGATTACTGACATCACCACCGCTACAACCATAACCAGTAAAACCATCAAGTGACACCATGATTATCGATTTTTTGAATAATAATAAACAAAATTTCATTTAAAATTCTTCAATAAATAAAAAAATAATTTCCATTAATTTGAATTTTCTTATTGATTGATAATCGAACTTCCTGTTGTAAATTACTTTTCCGAAAAAGTTCCCAAAAAGAACAAAATTAAATTAATAAAATTAATGATAAAATTTTCTATGAAAAGTTCTCATATACAATTACAATTATTTAGTTTCAATTTATATTCTTTATAAAAATTGGCAAAATTTATTCGAAAATTGTTTTTTTTCTTCATGTTTTTAATTTTGAATTTGTTAAACCAAAAATAAAAATGACAATTAATGTGAATATAGCCATTATTGTTATCACAATGTTATTTCAATGTTCAACAACATTAGCATCAGATAATGAATTATGGTTTCCAAAAGAATTTAATACTAATAAATCGATTGAATGTGGTCTTGATCATGAAATGTTTGGTCTATCATTGGTCGATGGTTATTTATTTCAATTTGAAAAATGTGCCGTAATTATTTATCCACCACCATTGGATAAATATTTGGGTAAATATTTGTATCTTTTAAAATTAGAAAATGGTTATCGATATACATTCGAAGAAATACAACCAAATTGGAAACCAAATTATTGTGAATATGCAAAAANATTATTTATCCACCACCATTGGATAAATATTTGGGTAAATATTTGTATCTTTTAAAATTAGAAAATGGTTATCGATTTACATTCGAAGAAATACAACCAAATTGGAAACCAAATTATTGTGAATATGCAAAAACTGCAATTAATTCACCATGGTTAATATTGTCTCGTTTAAAATTGCCAAACAGTAATGAAAGTCATATTCTATTATATTTTATTGGATTATTAAATACAAATGATTCAATGCAATATTATGCATATGATTTTGATTTGAATGTACTTGAAAAATTACATGGTGCATTTTATCATCCTAATTTGCAGTATATATTATTAACAAAAGGTGATGAACAATTTATCATACATAATGCTGTGAAAGAAACTCGTTATGAATTAATAGGAGATCCTGAATTACGAAATGATCGTATTAGTTATGATTATATTTGTATAAGAAAAACTGATAATAAAAATTATTACATTTCAAGAATAAAATGGCAACAATGTAATGAATCAAATGTACAATTAACACATTCATTATTGAAATCAATTGTTTTATCATTTACTGCATATGAAAAAATATTGATGATTTCGAAAAAGGATAATCATGTTTTAATAATCGATGTTGCATTTTTACATGTAGATAATTCTATTAAAGAATATCCATTACATATAATATCTTTAAAAGATTTTTATTTTTGTAGTAAATATAAAACAAAAATTATAATTTTTATAATATTGTGGTTAATATTGGTTATTTTTATTTCCGTTATTTGTGTTTTAATGAAACCAAAAGAGAAAATAAATGTTAAAAAATCAATGAGTAGTATTACTTCAACAAGAACATACACATCCTATTAACGATATAGGATTTTTTTTTGTAAATCTTTTTTAATAAATAAATAAATAAAAAACTGAATAAAATCTATCATTAGTTATAATTATTTGTCGGTTTTTTTTGTAAATTTAATTATAATTTTTCCGAATTAACAGGTTAAACAATTTTAAAATTGTAAAACCTTGTATTAATTATAAAACTTTGATTTTTTTGTTGTTGTTGTTGTTGAAAAACTTCTATAAGTGAATTTTTTCTTTTAAATAAATTATTCTTAACAATTATTTGTTTTCAATTTATTTTCGTGATAAAAATTAAGAAAATCTATTTGTAAATTGCCAATTGTTTCAATTAGTTTTTTAAATGTTCAATTTGTAAAAACAAAAAATTGAACCAAAATAATAATAATGATAATCAATGTGAATAAAGCCATTATTGTTATTATTACAATGTTATTTCGATCAACAACATTAGCAACAGATGGTGATTTATGGTTTCCAAAAGTATTTCCGGATGATAAATTGATTAAATGTGGTTTTGATCATGACTTTTATGGATTTTCCGTTATCGATAATTATTTATTTCAATTTCAAAAATGTGCCGTAATTATTTATCCACCACCATTGGATAATTATTTGGATAAAGATTTGAATCAATTAAAATTAGAAAATGGTTATCGATATACATTCGAAGAAATACAACCAAATTGGAAACCAAATTATTGTGAATATGCAAAAATAACAAAAAAATCACCATTTTTTTTAATGGNAGAAAATGGTTATCGATTTACATTCGAAGAAATACAACCAAATTGGAAACCAAATTATTGTGAATATGCAAAAATAACAAAAAAATCACCATTTTTTTTAATGGATCGTTTAAAATTGTCCAATAATGAACGTAATAATCATATTATATTATATTTTATTGGATTATTCAATGCAACATCTAAATTTATCGATTATCATACATATGATTTTGATTTACATACAGAACGTTCATATCAATTTGGTTTTTATCCAGCTAATATTCATTACATTTTATTAACTAATGGTTATGAACAATTTTTAATACATAATTCATTTCAAGAAAATAATTATGAATTAATGGTTGATCAAATAACTAAAAAAGAACGTATTAAATATAATTTTATTTGTATAAGAGAAATTGATAATAAGAATTATTTTATTTCAAGAACAACATGGGAAGAATGTGATTCAGATATAAAATTAACACATTCATTATTGAAATCAATTATTGCATCATTTACTGTATATGAAAAAATATTAATGATTTCGAAACATAATGATAAAGTTTTGATTACTGATGTTGCATTTTTACAAATAAATAATTCTATTAGAGAATATCCATTAGAAATAAAATCTTTAAATGATTTTTTCTATTGTAAATCTAATATTGTAACTTTTATATTATTGGCCATAATATTTGTTATTTTTTTTATTACTATTATCGGTATTATTGTTGTTTTAATGTATTATTATTATATGATTGTTAAAAAGAAAAACAAGAAAAAACTATTTGATGATAAAATCATGAGTCCAGAATTATCATCAAAAATTATTGACAAAGAAGATAAATTGGATTTGAAAACTATTATATCGGAAATTACTGATACAACCTTACCGACCACTATAACCGATTCGAGCCAATCATCATCATCGATTATCGATAAAGATGATGATTTGAGATTGAAAGCTATTATATCTTCCTCTATAACCAGTAAATCACCAATGAAAACACCACAACCAATAAAATCACCAATGAAAACACCACAACCAATAAAATCACCAATGAAAACAATGAAAACACCAAAAAAAATAAAATCACCAATGAAAAAAATGAAAACACCACAACGAATAAAATCACCAATGAAAGCAATGAAAACAAATCAACCATTAAAATCACCATGTATTCACGAAACAGCATGCAAAAAATGCGAACATTATCTTTATTCTTATTGTTATAAATAAATAAATTTTTTTTCTTTTCTTATTGTTTATACATTTACTCTAAATCCAGATCTAAATCCACTTTAACATCGATAAATTCATAACTAACAACAACAACAAAAACGACAATAAAACAATGAAATCAAATTACTAAATTACCCCGAAATAATTTGATAATTAATTACGGGTAAAATGATTATTACCAACAAAAAAAATTCTTATTTTTCTAATAACAATTATTAATATTTTCAATTGAAAAAAAAATTTTCACCACCATAAAAATTGGCAAAATTTATTTAATTATAATTAATTCGTCAATAAAAGAATTGAATTTTTTGTTATAATTTATTTTCTCTATAAAAGTTGATGAAAATTATTCGAATAAATTCTATCCAGTCCTTTTTATTTATGTTTTTTTTGATTGTATTGTAAATTGATAAACTGATAAACTTGTAAACTTTTGTACCGAATATTTAAATACAAAAGCCTTGTATTGAAACTTTCTACCAATCAATCCGAAAAAAATATGATTACAACTAATGTGAAAATAGCTGCCATTTTTATCACATTGTTATCATTTCAATTAACATTAGCATCAAATGCGAATTTATGGTTTCCAAAAGAATTTCCTCAAGATAAATTAGTAGAATGTNAAAATGAAAACACCACAACGAATAAAATCACCAATGAAAGCAATGAAAACAAATCAACCATTAAAATTACCATGTAATCACGATACAACATGCAAAAAATGCGAACATTATCTTTATTCTTATTGTTATAAATAAATAAATTTTTTTTTCTTTTCTTATTGTTTATACAGTTACTTTACATCCACTTTACAAATTTATTACTAACAACAAAAACAAAAACGACAACAAAACAATGAAATCAAATTTCTAAATTACCCCGAAATAATTTGATAATTAATTACGGGTAAAACGATTATTACCAACAAAAAAAAATTCTTATTTTTCTAATAACAATTATTAATTTTTTCAATAAAAAAAATTTTCACAACCATAAAAATTAGCAAAATTTATTTAATTATTGAATTTTTACAACAACAAAAATAAATTCATTAAAAGAATTGAATTTTCTGTTCTTTCTGTTTTGTTATAATTTAATTTCTCTATAAAAGTTGATGAAATTTATTCGAATAAATTCTATCCAGTCTTTTTTATGTTTTTTTGATTGTATTGTAAATTGATAAACTGATAAACTTGTAAACTTGTAAACTTTTGTACCGAACATTTATACACAAAAATCTTGTATTGAAACTTTTTACCAATCAATCCGAAAAAAATATGATTACAACTAATGTGAAAATAGCTGCCATTTTTATCACATTGTTATCATTTCAATTAGCATTAGCATCAAATGGAGATTTATGGTTTCCAAAAGAATTTCCTGAAGATAAATTAGTTAAATGTGGTATTCAAAATGAAATGTTTGGAATTTCTATTGTCGATGATTATATATTTCAATTTGAAAAATGTGCAGTAATCATTTATCCACCACCATTGAAAGAGCGTTTAGATCATACTGGTAAACAATTAAAATTGGAAAATGGTTATCGTTTTACATTCGATGAATTAATACCAAATTGGAATCCAAACTTTTGTGATTATGCCAAAACATCAATAACTACACCATTCTTTTTACTGAATCGTTTGAAATTGCCGTCCAATAAACTTGATAATCATGTTATATTATATTTTTTGGGATTATTTGATAAAAAAGAACCGTTTAAATATTATGCATACGATTTTGATGACGATCATCCATATGATCAACCTACATTTACTGCTGAAGATGATCTTTATTACATATTAGTGAGTGATGGCAAAGAAATTTATGAAGTATCTAATTCTATGTCGCAGTATCGTTTTTCGATAATAGGAGATCCAGTAACTAAAAGGGCTGGTATACAATATGATACAGTTTGTATTCATCCAACTAATCAAGCGGGTACATATTTTATGAAAAGAACAAACCCAAAGGGATGTGATGATGAAATATTTAATTCAACATATTTACTATTGAAACCAATTCATATATCATTTTATGCATATGGAAGAATATTTATGATGTCAAAACAAGATAATTATGTTTTGATAACTTATTCTAAAATATTAGTACAAAATAATGAAGAACATGACTATCCATTAACTAAGAAATCTTTGAATGATTTTTTATATTGTGGTAATTCACAAGATAGGCAAAAACGTTCAGCCGTATCAAAAACGAATACCGGTGATGCAAAATATAAATATCTTACCTATTTACTTCCATTTATGGTAATTGGTTTTGTTATATTATCATATTTATTATAATTTTAACAATGATTATGATTTGAAATAAAAATTTTTCAAAATATCTTTAAAAGATACAATAACACTATCATCATCATCATCAAAAGTTCAAAAAAAAAGAATTTTTTTGTTATTGTTTAGAGAAAATTAGTAATAATAATATTTTAAACAAAATTAAATTAATGAAAAAATTCTATAAATGAATTTTTTTTTCAAAATAAAATTTTTCTCTATAAAAATTAAGAAAATTTATTTTAATATTTTAACAGTTTTTTAAATTGTGAATTTGTAAATCAAAATCGAACAACAACAACAAAATGAAATTTAATGTGAATATAGCCATTATTGTCATTACAATGTTATTTCGATCAACAACATTAGCCACAGATAGTGATTTATGGTTTCCAAAAGAATTTAATAATACAATCGAATGTGGTCTTGATCATGACATTTTAGGTCTATCATTGATCGATGATTATTTATATCAATTCGAAAAATGTTCAGTAATTATTTATCCACCACCATTGGATAAATATTTGAATATAAATTCATTACAAATAAATTTAGAAAATGGTACAAGATTTACATTTGAAGATATACAACCAAATTGGCAACCAAATTATTGTTCGTATGCAAAATATGCCTGGAAATTACAACCACAATATTCATTGATTCGTTTAAAAGTAACATCAAATAAATTTAATAATCATATTTTATTATATTTAACTGGAGCATTTAGTTCAATACCTTCAACACAATATTATGCATATGATTTTGATAATCATAATGATATAAAAACTAAACAAACAATACATAGTGGATATAAACAATATACATTAGTAAATGATGGTAATGAACAAATTTTAATGCATAATCGAAAATCTGATGATGAATATCAATTTATGGAAGATCCAGCAATAAATAGTGGTGATAAAGATTTAGGTCATATTTGTATTCGTCATAGTAATGATGGATATCAAATTAAAAGACAATATACTAAAAGTGAATCAGTTGATATAATTTCATTAACACAATCAATATTGAAAACAATTACATTAACATTTACGGTATCGGAAAAATTATTATTCATTTCACAACCAGAACAATTAGTTTATATAACTGATAAAAATTTATTAAAACGGGAAAATATTGAAATAGAATTTCCGATGATAAAAAAATCATTAAAAGATTTTTTACTTTGTAAATCAAGAAAACAAATTATAACACCAAAAGAAACGAAAATATCTGAAATATTTGAAAATAAAATAATTATTATATCATTACCGATAATAATTATTATCTGTTTTATTATGGGTATTTTTATAATTATCAAAACAAAAAATGCAAGAAAATTAAATTATACAAAAAGAACAATAAAATCTAAAACAAGAACTATTGGATCTTCTTCACTTGGTGGTAGTATTGGCACCATTAAGAACACTATCAAATCAAGTGCTTTTAATAGCCGAACAACCAAAACCAACATTCGATGAAAAATTATCAAATTGAAAATTATTAAATTTGATTAAATCTTTTAATTCTTTTCTTTTAAAAAACATAAACAAATTCGAAATTAAATATGTTTTAGAAAAATTTCTTTATATATAAGAGTTGGCATAAAATTTATTACCAAATGTTTAGTGTGTGTGTTAAGGAATTTTAGTTTAGCGAATAACAGAATCGATGACCACAAATGTTAATATAGCCGTCATTTTTATCACATTGTTTTTTCATTCAACAACATTAGCAACAGATGATGATTTATGGTTTCCTAAAGAATTTTCCGAACAAAATTTAGTTAAATGTGGTCTTGATCATGAAATGTATGGACTTTCACTTATCAATGATTATATGTTTCAATTTGAAAAATGTTCAGTAATTATTTATCCGAATAAACATTTTGATGAAAATATTAATCAAATAAATTTTGATAATGGTTATCGATTTACATTCGAAAAAATTCAACCAAATTGGCAATCAAATTATTGTTCAATTGCTAAATCAATACAAAATCCAAAATATTCATTACTTCGTTTGAAATTACCAAATAATGAACATGATAATCATGTTTTATTATATTTAATTGGAATGATAAACTCAAATAATTCGTTTCTATATTATGTATATGATTTCAATACAAATATTGATTCACGAACAAATCAAAAAATTAATAAAGATAATATTCGTTTTTTATTATTAACTAATAATGAAGAACAATTTGTAATGCATAATGCTTTGTTTGATGATAAATATCAATTAATAGGTGATCCAATAACTGGTAAAGCTTTTGATATGGATTATATTTGTATTAGTCAAACTATTGATAATAATCCAATTTCAAAAAAACCATCTGAACAATGTGAAGAATTGGATAGAAAATTTACTGATTCATTATTGAAAACAATTGATCTGACATTCAGTGTAAATGAAAAATTATTATTGATTTCGAAACAAGATAATAAAGTTTTAATTACCGATATAGCATTATTAGAACAAAAAAATTCTGATAAACAATTTCCATTACAAATAAAATCTATACAAGACGTTTTTGTTTGTAGTAAAACCAAACAACATGATACAGACGATAAACATCATGACCAACATGAAAACGACCAACATGATCAATCAACAGAAAACCAAAATGAAAACCAAACAAAAGAATTCAAATTGAATGGAATAATTTTTATATCGTCCTCTATAATAATAATTATTATCTTAATTCTTATTGTTTATACATTTACTACAACAAGAAATAGAGCGAAAAAATCCTATAATGTTAAACGATTAATATCATTTAAGAGAGATAAATATGATAAAACTATTAGATCAGAACTTGAAATCACCAATACCAATACCACAACCTAGTTCATGATTATCATTTTTTAAAAAAATAATTAATTAACTCAAACATTCCATTCTTATTGGAATTTTAGTTTTAATTTTTATTTAATTGAAAATAAATTCGAAATTAAATATTCTATTTAAAAAAAGTTTTGTTGTTTTGTTCATTTTTTGATAACAATTCAATTTTTCAAAAAAATTCTCTATAAAAGTTGACAAAATTTTTCTAAAATTTTTAGTTAAGAAATTGACTTGATTGATTGATTGAAAACAACAACAACAATGACAATAAGTGTGAATATAGCTATCACCATTATTATCATAATCACGATGTTTTTTCAATCATCATTAGCAGCAATTAGTGATTACTGGTTTCCTGGATCTTTTCAAGACAATAAATTAATTAAATGTGGTCTGGATCATGAAATATATGGAATTTCCGTTCTACGAGATTATATATTTCAATTTGAAAAATGTGCCGTAATTATTTATCCACCACCATTGAATAAACATTTAGATGAAAATGTTACTAAATTAAATTTGGAAAATGGTTATCGTTTTACATTCGAAGAAATACAAACAGAATGGAAACCAAATTTTTGTGAACCAGCAAAATCGGCAATCAATACACCGGTTATAGGATTGTTTCATTTAAATTATCCAAAAAATGAACATCATAATCATATTCTTGCATATTTTATTGGATTATTACAATTGAATCAATCGATTGAATATTATGCACATGATTTTGATATGAACAATGATTTAAGATCAGAAGAAAAGTTTATTAGAAATGATATTCATTTTATATTAATGACTGATGGTAATGAACAATATTTAATACATAATAGAAAAGGTTCAGATAATTATGCAATGACAGAAGATCCATTAATTGGAATGGGTGATTCTCAATTGGGTCCTATATGTATAGAAGAATATAAAGAAAATAAAGATCCTGCTGAAATATATCGTCTTAAAAGAGGTGGATTTTATCCCTGTGAAGAACCAATTAGACAATTTACAGATTCATTTTTAAGAACAATTTCTTTCACATTTACTGCATATGATCAAGTATTTATGATTTCTATGGAAAAAAAATATGTTTTAATTTTTAAAGCAAAATTTTTTCAATCAGCATATAGACATAGTAATATGTTTATAGAAAAAAGATCTTTAGATGATTTTTTTATTTGTAAATCTCGAATAAAAGATAATGAAAAACAGCAACAACCAACAACAACAAAAGAAAATGTAACCAAAATACCAGTAACCAAAATAGACGAATTGATTGATAAAATTTCTAAATTTCAAATTCCCATAATTATTGTAATTGTCATTGTTATAATTGTTTTCTTCATTTTGATCATTTATAGAACAAAACATAAGAACAAAAAGATAATGAAAACAAACAATTTACCGAATCTTAAAAAATCTGATGCTTCTTCTTCTAAATCCACTTTACAATCGAAAAATTCATTACTAACAACAACAACAAAAACGACAATGAATAATTATAATACAATGAAGAAGAATTTTTATCAAACAATGAAATCAAATTTCTAAATTACCTTGAAATAATTTTTAATTTATCAAATTATAATTTCTAAAAAAGAAAAATTCTCGTTTTTCAATAAAAAAATTTTTTTAAAACAAAGTTCATTTTTAAAATTAAATTAAATTGATTTCATTGTTTACATTATTTTCCCATTTTTGTTTTTTTAAGTTAACAATTTAATTTTCGAAAAAATTACTTTATAAAAGTTGGAAAAATTTTATTATGAAATGTTTTTACTGTTTGAGAAATTTTCGCTAACGAATCGCAATCAAAATGATAATTATAAATGTAAATATTATCGCCATTATTATTACAATGTTTTTTCATTCATCATTATCAACAAATCATTCATGGTTTCCTGAAACATTTCCCGAACAAAATTTGGTTGAATGTGGTCTTAATCATGATATTCATGGATTTTCCGTTATCGATAATTATTTATATCAATTTGAAAAATGTTCAGTAATTATCTATCCACCACCATTAGATAAACATTTAGATAAAAATTTTAATCATTTAAGATTGGACAATGGTTATCGATTTACATTTGAAAACATTCAACCAGATTGGAAACCAAATTATTGTGAAAAAGCACAATCATCAAAAAATAAATTACAGTATTTATTGGTTAAACAACAAGATCATATTTTGTTATATTTTCTTGAATTTTTACCCTCAAATAAATCAATTCAATATCATGTTTTTGATTTCAATACAAATACTGATTCAAAATCAGAACTATTCGCTGCTGATGATATATATGAACATTATTTATTAATGACTAATGGTAAAGAACAATTTACGTTACATAATTCAATGGGTGATAAACGATTTTATTTAGCAAGAGATCCACTAAAAGGAAGAGATTCCTATCAAATTGGTCATATTTGTATCAGACAAACTGATGTTACCAATAAAAAATATCTAGCTAAAATAACTGTAGATAAACATTGTGCATCCATTGATTCATTAATGAAAACAATTGTTTTATCATTTACTGTAAATGGAAAATTATTAATAATTTCAAAAGAAGATAAAATTGTTTTAATTACCGATGTAGGATTATTACATACAGGTAATGATGAAACAGAATATCCATTTGAAGTAAAAGATTTTAAAGATTTTTTCACATGTAAATATGATCCAAAAAATACAAAGCAACCAAATGATCAAGGAAAAATAACCGAATCAACAACAACAAAAAACACTGGAAATATATTAATAATATTATTAGTGTTATTATTTGCAATCATCTTTATTGTGTCAATTATTATATTTACTAAAAGTAGAAAGAAAAAATTAAACGATGCTACAACATCACAATCAACATCATTATCAACAACAATACCGAAAAAAATGATGAAGAAAAACATGTTTGATACAACTATTAGATCTCCTATGAGTAGATCCACCACCACCGCTAAAACTACCAATCGATGATAATCAGGAAAAAAATTTGAAAAATTTTGAAAACAATCAAATTTTAATTTTTAATCAAATTTGATCGATTAAAAAAAATCATTTTATTTTCTTTGAATATGATGAGGGCAAAAAAAAAACAAAAATTTTCAGGAAAATCAAAAATTAAAACGAAAAAAAAGGATATTATTATCTCAATTTAAGCCCAACGACTTTTTTTATTTTTTATTTCCATTTTTTCTTGTTGTTGTTGTTGTTGTTTTTCATTATTTGTTGATTTATTCCATGATGTTTCATCACTTGCAGCTTTAAATTGTGAACGAAATTGTGATTTATATGCAGCACGCATTATTGATATTCGATCATTATTTGATGATGATGATGATGATGATGATGATTTATTGATAGTGTTTGATGATGATGATTGTTTTGGTTGATTATATTGATTAATTTGTTCAGCAATCGATTTAGTTGATGGTACAAATGATGATGTTGATGTTGTTTCTGTAGGTATCGATGATGATGATGATGAACCAGTTGTTTCACATTTTTCACTATCACCATCACCACCACCACCACCAAATCCTAATCCAAATTTTGGTCTTCTTCTAGAATTATCATTAATTGATGATGATGATGATAATGATCGTAAATCTCCACCTTGTTTAAATCTTGATTTACGAAACCATTGTGATTGCATTGCTAAATTCATTAAATCATCTGTAACTAATTGATTAGCTGATTCTAAATTTCTAACTAAATGTCCAACCATTTCTTTATCTTTTTCAGTAACTAATGTATAAGCAATACCTTGTTCACCTGCACGACCAGTACGACCAATACGATGTGTATGTGTATCAATATCTAATGCAAGATCATAATTTATAACTGTTTTTATATGTGATATATCAAGACCACGTGCAGCAACATCGGTTGCTATCAATACATCCGATTCTTTACGTTTAAATCCGGTTATAACTTTATTACGATCCAATTGATTCATATCACCATGCAATAATAATGGTTGATGATTTGTTTTCGTTTCTAGATTTGTTGATAATTCTTGTGCATTTGCTTTTTTTGTTACAAATATTAATACTGATCCTTGTGATGTAAATTCAACTAGATTCGCTATTAACCAATCCCATTTTTGTGATGTACCATGTTTAAATACATGTACAATTTGTTTAATATCTTGATTAGCTTCACCAACACCATCACCTTGTACAATACGAATTGGATCATTTAAAACATCACGTGCTAATTTTTCAATTTTTTTCTTAAATGTTGCTGAAAACATTAAAGCTAAAATAATCAAATGAAAATGATTTCAAAAAAAATGAATCGATTAAATACGGGAATAAAATCAACAACATCAAAAACAATAAAAAACTACTTACTTTGACGATCTGGACGAACTTGATTACAAATCGAACGTACTTGTGGTTCGAAACCCATATCAAACATACGATCAGCTTCATCTAAAACTAGATATGTTACACGTAATAGATTTGTAGCTTTCATTTTAATAAAATCAATCATACGACCCTAATGATAATGATAATGATAATGAAGATGTTATTAAATCATAAAAGCAATTCAATTAATAATTACCGGTGTAGCAACAACAATATCGGCACCTTGTTCTAAATCTTTGGATTGTTCATATTTGGAACCACCACCATAAGCACAAAGTACACGTATACCATATGGTTTGGCAAATTTTTTTCCTTCCTGATAGATTTGTTGTGATAATTCTCTGGTCGGTGCCAATATCAAACCGATTGGTCCATCACCAGGTTTCAATTCCGGTTGATCCATTATATGCATCAATAATGGCCATAAATATGCAGCTGTTTTTCCTGAACCAGTTTTAGCAATACCGATAACATCACGACCACTTAATGCAGCCGGTATTGCTTGTGCTTGTATTGGTGTCGGTGTTGTAAATTCCATTTTTCTAATCAATTTCATTAATGGTTCATCAAAACCAAAATGACCAAAACTTGAACATGGTTTTGGTGGTGATGGTCCCGATACACGTATACCTAATTTACGACGTAATTCTTGACATTCAACATTGGTCAATTTGGCAATATCTTCATGTTCATTATAGAAATTTTTTTCAAATGGTTGATATTCAATTTGTGAATGATATACCATTGGAAGTGGATCGATCGTTTTTTTGATCGATGTTACAATTGGATTACCATCATCATCATATTCGATTTGATTTTCGATAGTATTCGTACCGCTTTCATCATCACTATCACCAACAAATGTACCAACACCAGCCATTGGATTCGATTCCATATATTTATAATATGATTCTTCTAGATCTTCTTCTTCGATATCTTGCCGAACTCCTTTCATATCGGTCATTGATTTTTTAGTAGCCATTGATTTTGCTGAATCAGATGTTGCCGATGAAGATTTGTTTGTAGACGATTGTTGTTGTTGTTGTTGAGATACCATTTTATTATTCTTTGTTTTGTTCGTTTTTTGTTGTTCCGATTTGTTCAATTCGGCCATGAATGCATCCAATGGATCTTCCTCCTCATCATCATCATCATTCCCATCAGTATTTTTCATTGGACTTTTGTTTGATGATTGATAATACTGTTGACCATCATCATCTTCATGTTCAAAATATTCATCTTCAAAATCACCAAATTTTGGTCGACGACTAAATTGACTACCCGAATTGATTCGTGCTTCAAATTGTGCACGTGCTTTGGACGCATTTTCATTTAAATCTTCAAAACGAGTATATGATTGTCTTTGATTAAGATTTTTTGGTGGTGGAACTGATCTAAAATCTCGAGATGTCATTTTGCAGAAAAATAAATAAATTTGCAGAATTTTACATAATCCAATTTGAAAAAAAAACAAACAAATGATCAGCTGTCCAAATTACAGCTATTTTTACCGCTCTGGTCATGGTAATGTGTTTATTTTATTCATATGCATGTTCTGGATCAATGGTAACCGATTTCGTCATTTTGTTACCAGAATTGTATCGAATATGGATAAAGAATATCGTCAAATTGATGGTAGCCATTTAGAAGGTGGTGGACAAATTTTACGAATTGCTACAGTATTAAGTAGTTTATTGAATATACCGATCGAAATACGAAATATTCGTGCTGGTCGACCAAAACCAGGATTAGCACCGCAACATCTTCATGGTTTACGAATAGCACGTGATATAACTAATGGACAATTATTGAATGCTGAAATCGGTTCAACTTCGATACAATTTTGTCCATCAAAAATTAATGCCGGTAATTATCTGACTGATATAGGTACGGCAGGCAGCGTTACGTTGATTCTTCAAACAGCTATACCATTATTACTTTATGCAAATGGCCCATCAACATTAGAAATATACGGTGGTACACATGTTCCATTTGCACCGTTTGTTAATTTTTTCACTGATATTCTACCCGATTATTTATCATTTATGAAACAAATTCAAATTCATTGTAATCGATTTGGTTTCTATCCACAAGGTGGTGGTCATATAACATGTCAAATTGATCCAACAACAATACAATTACCATTACAATCAATCGAACGAATTGATTTCGGTGAATTAAACGAAATAAATGGTTTTGTAATGATATCTGGTCGAATTCGGCGACCAATAGCCGAATCAAATATTCAATCAGCTATGGAAATTTTCTATAATCAACAATCAAAAATGATTGATGAAAATCGTATAAATATTTTCATAAATGAATGTCGTACACGAAATGATGTTTTAGCTATGATGTTATCAGCACGTACAACAAAAAATTGTAATTTATCATCATCTTCAATTGTTTCAAGACGAAATGAAATGCATACAAATATTTATGGTCAAAAAATAGCCGAAAAACTTTGCCATGATTTAGAACAACAATGTTGTGTTGATGAATTTATTCAAGATCAATTGATTATTTATATGGCATTAGCTGATGGTATTAGTCGAATAATTACCGGTGAAATATCATTACATACTCAAACAGCTATATGGATAACTGAACAATTAACTGGCGTCAAATTTTCAATAAAATTAATTGATCAATCGAAACAATTGAATATGATTGAATGTAAAGGATTAGCATATAAACCGGAAAGATATTATTCTTGATTCGAATTTATTTAATGTATTTTTATTTACAAAACAACGACATTTTATCAAATTTGAGCTCAATTATAAAAAAAAAGCATTTTGCTTGAAAAATATTTTTAAAAAATTAAAACAGAATTTTAAAAAATTGACATCTATATGAAAAATATTATTCGGGGATTTGTTTTTTCCACAAAAATCATGATTTAAATTAATTTAACCGAATTCGGCCAATTGCGTTGAATCAACTTTGTTTTAATTTTTTATTTTTGAATCCATCATCGTTATGGATTAATGAATGTTTTCGGGAAATTTTTTCCCTTTTTCTATCACATTCAGAAGGTGAATTATTATTGTTATCATTAAATAAATTCCAATTATCGTCATCACTATCAGGTTCAGATGAATTCATTTCTTGAATTTGTTGCTCATGTTGTTGTTCATTTGAAATATTCGGATATTCATATTCCATTTCATCATTATCACTATCATGGCTCGATAATGATGATAACGACGATGATAAATTTGATTTGGAACGTTTAATCGGTTTGAAAGTTTGGCAATTCCAACAACAAAATAATAACGAATACCACGGCCGTTTAACTTGTTTTAAATAAGAAACGTTATTGCATTTATTAAGTAGATATTTGAAAATTTTCTTTTCAAAATAAACGATCGTTTTTGGCAATTTTTTTGTCGAAAATGATACGATTTTCAAACGATTTTTGCATAAATGTAATTTCTTTATTTCAATCCAAGGAATTATTGATATATGATCGTATTTTAAAGTGGACCGATTACGTTTTATGATGGACATATAACGATTATTCATTGAAACTTTTATGACAAATTTTCGGTCTTTTGAATGACCATAATAATGTGTTGTTGGAATCTTCTTTGATCTTGTTTTCATGATGAACCATAGATTTTTTTTGTTGAAAAAAATTTGCACAAATCATAAAACACAAATCAAAACACCGATTGAAAGATCGAATGAATAAATTGTTCGAGGTTTTTATACACGAAAGGCATCTATAGTATCTAAGAAATGCTTATCTCTGAAATCAAAATCACCATCATGACATTTACCACAAAAAAAAATCATTGTCAAGTTTGATTTTTGGTTGATTGATAATGATTACGGGTCAACGAAATAGATGGCGTTGATAATCGTATTGATTTCATTTTGTTTATAAATAAAATTAACAACCTACGTTGGTAGCTGGAAATGGTGGCGCATTTCTGTAATCCAAGTTTCTGGGAGGCTGAGAATTGTGAATCGACGATCGGTGGGAGTACTGGTTAGCGTTGCGTCTATGTTGATCCGGCGTCCACACTAAGCACGGCGTCAATATGGGCAATATCGGGTAGCCGATTTGTTGTCCAGGTTGGCCATAATGAGGAGCGAAACGGCTCAGAGTGGAAACACCACAGGCAAAAGCTCCCGCGTCGTACGGTAGTGGGATCGCGCCAGTGAATAGACTGCCGCTATTCAGCCCATTTGATTCGTAGGGACCTGTTCTTTTTATTTTTTTGAAAAATTTTCTAATCATTATCATTGAAAGATGAAGATTATCCATTGAAAATTACGATTAAAAATGATAAAAAATTGTCAGTTTATGATGGATCGACAATAGATGGCGTATAAGTTGAATATTTGAAAAAAAATTTTCGGCAAAATTATAATCGACTAGCATTGCAAGCCATTGGCCATTGGCTTCGTCTACTAAGTAGACGAAGTCTAGCTTAGTCATAAGGCCAAGTCCAATGCAAGCCAGCCATTTGTTTATGTAAAAATCAAAAGATCCTTATAAATAAAAAATGCAAGCCATCCATTTTTCGAGCATGCGCATTGAAATAGAAAAAAGTGTTTCGTCTCAGCCAGCCAGCCAGCCAGTCAGTGTTTTACTTTTTTATGTTATTAGATGGTTGTTTATTTTGTTTTTTACTTGAATTGTCGATCGTTTATTGGAACGAACGGAAATAAACGAATCAAAATGAAAATGAAATATCCGATTTTACCGGAAAAAAATGAAAACCACAACAACAACAACAACATCATCATCATAATCATCGGATACGATCGATAATACAATTTTTGAATATCTAAAATGTTACTGAAATTTGTTGGAAATTTTCATCATTTTTTTTCTCATTTTTTCCTTTGTCGATCGATATAATTGATGATGAAATATTTAGTTAATATTTGGACGAATGAAAATGTTGTTGTTTTTGTTTTGTTTTCAAATGTCCGGAAGAATTTTGATCGGATTGTGATTTACTTTCTATAGTTTGGTTCATATTCTCAACAAAAAATTTTAAACTTTTCCCCAAAAAAAAGAGAGAGAGAGAGAGAGAGAGAGAGAGAGAGTAATAAGAAATAAGAGTTTAGAGAAAATAATAAATTTTCATTTACGATGATTTCAAATCGGTATAAATACCGAATGTTTGTTGGTTATTTTATCGGGTACAAAACAATTTTTCGTTGTTGTTTTAATATTTCAATCATCAATTTGTCGAAACCAAACCAAACCAAACCAAACATCAACAACAATGCGTTCAACAGTATTAGCTTTTGCTATTTTGACTGTAATGGTCATTATAATGTCATCATCCGGTCGTTTTGATCGTAAACAATCATCATCATCAATGGTTGAAGCTGGCCAAAAGAAAAAAATGCGTATTGCAATGGCATTAATACATTTATTGGGTCGTCGTAATAAAATGATTGTACCATTTCCAATACCAATACCGTATGTATAATTTTTTCTTTCTATTTCCGAATTTTCTTTTCTTTTTTTTAATTAATTTTTCTATTCTTACCTTGTTGTAATCTACTCGTTTTTTTTCAATAGTGTTGAAAAAGAGAAAAAATGCTATCATATACAAAAAGAATATGTTCCTGTTTATTTAAAAGATGAAAAAAAATATGATTCCTATGATTATCATCATCAAAAATATGGACATCATGATGATACATATGGTTATGATCATCATAATAATATTGATCATTTATCTGGTGGAAGTGGTGGTAATGATTATTATGATAAAAATGGTGGTGGTGGTGGTGGTTATTGATTTTTGATTCGATTCAAAAAACATTCGAAACTGTTTTTTTCTTTTTGGCGCTGGACGCGATAAGATTTCACATATAAATAATAGATAAAACATTGATTTTTTTTTTGCTTTTAAAAATTATTATTTACAAATAAATTCATTAATTTTACAAATTAAACTGGAATATGCGGTTTAGGCTTTTTTGTTTTTGGTCCATCATTATCGACATCATTATTATTATCATCATCATCATCATCATCATTTTTATTATCCAATTGTTCTTGTGCAAATATTGTTTTTGGTTGATTTTGTTGATATGCTGGTGTTACCCAATATGGATTATCTTCAGCATCTTTTGCATGTCTTAATAATGCTTCACGTGGATCTTCATTATCATCAATTTTAGCACGTACACCTAAATTACGTGCTATAAATGATGCAAATGTTTTACCTGGTGCAGCAATACGTCCACCTGAACCGGATCCAGTTACAGGTAATTCAGGTCTTCTTGATTTAATTGGATCTTTACGATCTTTTAACATTTGTACAAAATGTGATTTCCGTCGTTCCTGTTTAAATAATGGTAATGCATGTGGTGTTATGATTGTTGGTTGTGCCATTGTAAACACTTCTTTACGTTTACGTTTTTTACGTAATGAACATAATAATGCACCACGAACAGAATATTTTAAATCATAAAACATCTGAATAGAACCATCCGATCCACTTGTTACAATTTGATTTAATTTTGGATGCCATATAGCACGTATATTCGATGATGATAATCGACCATCGATTTTTTGTATTAATTCAAATGTTGATGTTGAATAAAAATGTAGCTGACCACATTCATCGGTTAAATTGTTTGGACGTTCATCACAACTAGTAGCAGTCATTAGATAACGATCATCCGGTGAAAATGAACAATCAGTTTGTGCATATCGATTCGATAGGCCAGTCCATTCATGTAATGGTTCCGAACGTTGTCGTCCAAATGGTCGTGTTTGTCTTACCATACGCATATCCCATAATTTCATTGTATTATCTGTTGAACGTGTAGCCATTGTCATGCCATTATAGCCAAACATTAATGATGACATATCGGTCGAATGTTGATGAGCATCACGAATTAAATGTGAAGTATTGACAAATGATTTACGTGTATCCCACATCTGTACACTACCATCATCACAACCTAATGCAATCAAATCACCCATTGTCGAACTAAATGCACAAACATTTGGCTGTGTACGTAAACCATGTTGTGATCGTGGACGCATCAATGAATGATGTTGTCGTAGATTAACCTGTGTATCCCATAATCGACATGTACCATCATTTGAACAAGTGGCAAATATATTTCTTTCCAATGGATGCCAACAACCAGAATTTAACATTGCAATATGACCTTTAGTATTTTTCATATCGGAAATATATTGATCTCCTTTAATTGTTTCAGCTTTTACATAACCATCACGATCAATTAATTTAGCTATACATGATCCTGAAATAACTAGAATAAATTCACCATTTGAAGAAAATTCTAAATGTTTTATCGAATGTGATTGACATGGTGTAATCGTTCGAAATGATTGTAATGATTGATCCATACCGCCAAAATCCCAAAATTTTACTTCATAATCAATACCACCTGAAACTAGTCTGGCACCATTCGGATCCAATGCTAATGCCGTTACAGATTTATTACCATGTTTTAATTCAATTTCATGCGATATTGGTAATACTGAATATCGATTATCTAAAGTAAAAGAGGATAGGAAATATGGTTAATTTAAAAAATTAATTAATCATTTGACAAATTATAATTACCATCGTTTAGATCATATTGACCATCATCATCATCATCTTCAGCATCAGAATTATTTTTGGTTTTTACTGAATCATCGTTCGGTTGAAATCCAGGAGGCAATGGAGGACCTATTAAATCATCATCATCATCATCGTCGTCGTCTTCATTATCATCATTGATATTCGATGTTTGAGGTTTAGGTGAACAATCATCACTATCTTCATCACTATCATCATCATTGTTTGAATTTTTCATTGAATTGATCATCGATGATGATCCAGGTTCATTATTATCGGTACGTAATTTTTCATAAAATTTTCCCATCATTTCATCAACATCGAATTTACGTGCAGTTTTTGTTTGTTTTTTATTATCTGAATCTGATGATTGTTTTGATTTATTTCCATCATCATTATTATCATCTCTACTATCAACAACAGTCGATTTGATTGTTGATTTTTGAACCTGATCAGGTTTATTGATTGTTGATCGTTTCGAACCAAAAGTACCAAATCCCATTACTTTTATCATTTCGTCATCATCATCATCTTTATTATCATCATTGATCGATGTTTTTTCCAACGATAATTTTGGCTTTAAAGCCATTTTGAATTTTATTTGATTCATTTTTTAAATAAAATATTTGTCACCACAATGCAATAAAATCGCCGAATGATAATAACAAACCCAAAAAAAAAATAATCAGGTAGCGCCATCTAATATCCAAAAAAAATATATGTCCATCAATTTTTCCTGAGTGATATGAAACGTCCGCGTTTTGATGATTATAAACAACAAAAAACTTTATTATTGTCGATTTGTTGTCTGTTTTCAATGTTGTTGTTGTCGAGTAGAACTCAAAATTTTTTTTTAATTTCATTTCCAATCTGTGTTCAAAACATTGATACAAATTACAAATCAATAATCAATCGTTTAATGATCTGGATATTTAATTTTTTTTACCACTTAATGATTTGATTAGTAATCGATTTTATGTGTTCAAATTCAATATAGCAAATTTATTGATTTTTAATCAATCATGATTATTATGGTATTTAATAATTTTGCAAAACAATTATCTGATTCGGATTATTTTTGATTACAATTGTAATTTATAGATTTTATAGTAATCATTACTTTATCATTTTCCAATTTGTTTTGTAAACATCAACGATCATGAATGAATGAAATTAATTTGAACTAAACATTGACAGATAATTATTCATTATTCATTGCCCATATATGATATGATATCAATTGCTGCAGCATTGATTTTGAGAAAGATACTATAGTAAAACATCTTTAACAGCTGTTTGGTTCAACCAAACAAAAAAAAATCAATTGAAGAAATTTGATTTCATGAACAACAACATCATATCACCATCAATCATATTGTGACTTTAGGAAAAATAATAATAATTTGCTGCTGGTGTTTTTCAACCAACAACAACAACATTATAAATATAAGATCATCATCATCATCATTTGTTCATCATTTATTTAAGAAAAAAAAATAATATGGCACAACAACCTGTATATCTTAACGTTTATGATATGGTTTGTATTGATTAATTGATTGATTGATTAAAATTATTATCATTTTATTAATATGATGATTTCATCCTTTTTTTTTTGTTTCAATCAGGCATCAATCAATCAATATTCATCATCATTGGGTATCGGTATTTATCATACCGGTGTTGAAGTTTTTGATTCAGGTTTGTTTGTTTTGTAATTTTCAAAAAAAAAAAATTCTCATCGATTAATCACGATCATCTAACAACAACAACAGAATATGCATATGGTGGACATCCGTTAGATTTTTCCGGTATATTTGAAATCGAACCAAAAGATGTGATTGCATTGGGTGAAGAAACATTTAAATTCAAGTAATTCATATATATTTATTTTTTATCATTTTAGATAGGAAATTATAATCTAATCAACAAACAAACAACAACAAAATTTTTTTGTTATTTATTTATTTCATTCAAAATAGGAAATCAATATTGATTGGCCATACTGATTTTCAACGTGAAGATGTTAGACAAATTATTAAAGAATTTGGTAAAGAATTTAAAGGAGATAAATATCATTTATTACATAAAAATTGTAATCATTTTTCTGATTCATTTTTAAAAGTATGTGTTGATTTATTTTTGTTTGTAAAAAAATTCTAAATATTTTTTTTTTCATTTATATTAGTATCTTTGTGGTAAACCATTACCACCATGGATAAATCGATTAGCCTATCTATCTACTTGTGTACCATTTTTGGAACGTTGTATACCGAAAGAATTTCTAATACCTATTGCATTGGAAAATAGTATGCGTGATTTAGATGATAAAAATAATGATAACGATAACTATGGTGATGATGATGATGATGTTTGTGGTTATCGACCTTGCGGCGGTCAAAATGCTGGTGATGATAATGATGATGATATTCTAAAACGTATACTTAAACAATCAACATCATCAACTACATCATCATCTTCTTCATCTTCATCATCATCAACATCAACATCATCATCGAATTGTTTTTTACCAACATCGGAAAATCAACAAAAACAGTCACCATCATCATCATCATCATGTCAACAACGACGACGAACAAATGTAGGAAATATTTTTCAACTTTCCTCAATTAATAATCATCATCATCAAAACAATAATAATCATTATGATGATGATGATGATGATGATGAAAGTGTAAAAAATCATCATTCATCAACGATATCAACAAGTACTTCCAATTTATTAAATTTAGGATCAACAACAACAATACGTACAACAAAAAATTCACCAAGATTATCACGTCCTAATCGACCATTTTCCAATCTAAAACGATAATGTTTTAAAAATGATTTGAATCAAATAATCAATGCCTTTTTATCTTTCGATCTTCTAAATCGAATTAATTTGTGAAAAACTCGACAATAACAACAACAAATAAAGATAACCTTGGACACACCGATAAGTAGCCTAAATGAAAAGTGCTTTTTCCACCATCAACACCACTACACAATTATGATCATCAATCAAGAAACAAATTAAGAAATTGCCATATAAATTCAAAACGGACATTATACACACATTAAACATTTTCTTTTGTGCCAAAAAAACAAAACAAAACAAAAAACATTTTCCATTTCAATACAATTCAATATTTTACTAACCATTGGAATTGTTATTGCCGCCTGTGTTACACACACACAAATTGATTGATTTTAAACAAAAATTTTCAATTGAAAAAAAATAAAATTTATATATTTATTAATCAAATTTTTTTCTTTTTCTTTAAATTCTTTTAACAAAAATTCCAACATTATCATCAATACAATATGCACAAACATCATTACGATCTTCCATTATTTCTTCATAGTGCCAATTATTATCAATTGATTTTACTAATAATTCAAATTCATCGGATAAATGTAATAAATGTTTTAACATAAATTTAAGATTAAAAACTTTCATTGTAATTGGTATTTGTTTTCGTACATATTTTCTTGATTGATCAGGATTTTGTTCATCATAAATATTTAGATGAATAAAATTTTGTTGTATTTTTTCTTGTTTAGTTAAATTTTTTGCAATAATTGGTTCACCTAATTCCGAAAGTATTTGTTGAAAACATGGATTTTCATCAAAAAATTTTAAACGTGTTTTAGGATTTTTATAGCATTCTAAATATTCTGGATAAATCATTCGTAGATAATATTTTTCACCATCATTACGGGATTCTTTTTTAATTGGTTCACGATCCAATTTTTCTAATCGTCGTATACGTGATAAAATAAAATTAAAATTATGATAATATTCATTCGTATCGAATAATGGATTTCGTTTTAATAATAATATTTTCAATGATAAAAGTTTATTTAATTCGGCAATCGATTGCCAATCATTAATCTGATTATATGATAGATCTAAGTATTGAAGTTTAGAGAAAAGATTATTTTCATTGAATCTTATCATTTTAATTTGACAATTTGGTAATTCAAGTGTTTCTAATCTGGAAAACAAAACAATGAAAAAAAATCATTTTAATTAAAGGTTTTTTTTTTGGTAAACAAAACAACATTACTTTGGTAATTTTCCAAGCATACAAATTTCATTCCAATCGGATATAGGATTTTTGGAAAGGCTAAGAAATTTTAAATTTTCAAATTGATTATTATCAACAATTTGTATAGTTTGAATTTGATTTTCAAATAAACTGATTCGTTCGATTGACGGCCATAATTTTGAACATTGAAGTAATGATGACCAATCATAATTAAGATCACCAAGAATAATTGCTTTTAATCGTTTAAAATGATCACAAATTTCAACAATTTCTTTATCACTTGGTGGCCGTAATGGATTGGATGATAAAATTAATTCTTCAATCAATGGTGTTAATTTAATAATTTTAGCAATATCCAACCAATTTGTTAGGAAATTTTTTGCCAAATATAATGAACAAGCTTTTGGTAGATGAAATTGATTTTGATCAAAATCATTATCATCATTATATGGTCGATCAATTTGTTGATCGGATAAATCGATCCATCGTAGATTATTTAAATTTTTCAATTGATTTTTAATCTTTTCCATACCGACCCATTCACAAACACGTCGATGTCCATCCAATTGTGGTAGATCAATAATTGCAGTTTCATCATCATCACAATATTTAGAATATAATGCATCAATAAATGATTTTCGATTATTCATTATTCGGTTATTCTCTAAAAAATCCAAAATAAAAACGAATTTTTTATCACAAAATGCAAACAAACAAACAAAAAAATCACATGTCAAAATGAAAATCTTCAAATTATTCCACTAAAAAGCAGATGGCAGCACTATTTCCACAATCTTTAATTTTTTTTCCAAATGAAAAAAAAAGATTCGAAAATTATCAAAAAAATAGCCAAAATCAAAAGTAATCAAATTTTGTAAAATTCTCCAATTCCACCACCCAACAACGGTTATTTTTTGTTATAATGATAATGATAATAAATTTAGTTATTTCATTCTTTTTTTTCCAATGAATATTATATTAATGATGATTCCTAGGAATTTTTCTTTCACTTTTTGGCTGGCTGGCTTGTTGATTGTCGGATCACCATGACATCGATGATAAGGTTTTGTTCTTATTTAACTTGGCATTTTTTTTTTGGTTTGTTTGTTTGTCAATTGACCGTTTGTTGCATACACACACAGACAAACGAATCGTGGTGCTCAAATTCTAATCATGATACAAATACGATTAAATGAAAATGAAAACAAAATACGTGAATTTTTTATCGATTCATATCGAAAAAAAATTCTAACCGATTGTGTTATTTATTGTCATTGTTTAAATGATGATGATAATAGTGGTAATGTTGGTGATGATAAAAGTAAGTTGGTTTTGTTTAAATTGATTGAATTCGAATCTTTTTTTTTTTTCAAATAAAAAGTTTCATCAATGCAACGTGATGATATATCATCAACAGAAACATTAAATTTACTTATCGATAATAATAATGATGATCATCAAGAATTGGATGAAAAATATTTAAAATTCGATTGTCATCGTTTAATATTATCATTATATTCAAAATTTTTTCATCATTATTTTTGTAATCATCACCATAATGATGATAATAATAATCGACAACAATCAATGTCAATATTTATCGATATTCCAGCGAAAATTATGGATGATTTATTGAAAATTATTTATTTTGGTTCAATTACAATCGATAATGAAGAAAGAAAATTAGCAATAATTTCTGCTGCATTCAAATTGGGTATTTCGGATAATATTGTTATTTTTAATGATGATAATAATATTGATAAGATTAAAATTGATAATCAAGATCAAGATAAATTATTAAAAGATCAACAACAACAACAACAACAACAATCATCATCATCATCATCATCTAAAACGGTGATTGAAAATTCATCAAAAAATTTACTTAAAAAACGATTATTAAATAATTCGGATGATGATGATGATGATGATCATCGGGATAACGAACCGGGACCATCATCAATGATGAATAAATATTTTATGAAACGTATGTTAATTACAAATCAGGAATCCTTTTTTCTAATAAAATTTTTTTCATTCAGCTGATGAAACAATGGTAAAACAATCGAATTCAAATATGAATCGAAAACAACAACAACAACAAACCAATTCGATAATTTTAAATCGATTATCGAAAATTGTACCATCATCATCATCATCAAACAGTGGAGGCGTCAGTTCCAATGATAATCAAACAAAAAGAATTGCAATAGATCAAACAACAACAACAACAACAATGTTGTACACTTGTCAATATTGTCAAAAACAATATAATTATGAGATTTCATTGAAAAAACATGTTAAAAGTGCACATTCATAAACGTAAAAAACAACAAAAATGATGATGATGATGATAATTAAAAATGGGCAGAGAAATAAATTTTTTTTTTCATTTAAAAAAAAGGATTCTTTTTTGGCAAAACATTATGACCTAAATATATTTATTAATTTTCAACTTTCTATTCATTCTCCCACCATCATCATCACCTTTTGTTATGTTTGTTAAAAAAAATTATGAACAAAAATGGTCATGTTCGTGATAGTTTGTGTTTATGGATTAAATACTTGGATCCAAATAATAATAAAAAAAAACTTAATTCAATCAAAAGGTGTGACGTGTGTCTTTGATATCTTGTAAGGTGATTGATATGATGATATAATGAATATTATATGGATCATATACAAGATGATGGTAGTAATTTTTTAAATTGTGGTTATTGTCGGATGTGTTAATTTTTTTATTAAAAAAAATTATCATCATAATCAAAAATTTCCATAAATGGATATTTTCGTTATTTTTTTCGAATGAATTTTTTCGAAAATTCGAATGTTTTCAAAAAAAAATCGAAATGCACATGCGTACAATCTATAGAATATTTCAGAAACGGATATTTTTCTGTTCGATTTTTTGTTTTCTGTTTGATTCAAATCGAACGTTTCCATGAGTTACCTCGCATCGCGGTTTCTATGAGAATTCATTTCGACCAAGATTTTTTACAAAAACAAACAAACAAAAAAATTATTATTATGATTGAAACAAACAAACAAACAACGAATGAAATTATAAATGAAACGAATTTGGAACAACAACAACAACAACAAAATAATGGAAAGAAATCCTTCGAAACGAAATAGAGAAAAAAAAACAATGATAATTCATGGGCGTATATATCATGTGTAATTATTCTGAATTACGGTAGTGTAACATTGAATGAATGAATCATAAAACGTAATATGGTAAAAAGAAATCGAATGTTTTTTTTGTTGTTGTTATTGCTATTTCGTGTGAGTGTGTCAAATATGTCTAATGAAATGAAACAACAACAATATTCGACGATATTGAAGAAATCAATGATTCGGGTGTGGATGTCTCTATAGAAAATGATAATGTTTTTTTTCTAATTGAATGGAATTGAAAACAACCTAATCATCTTCTCTCTTTTTTTTTGTTCTGTAGAAACAAATTAATTTCATTGTCAAAATGACAAACAAGATTTGAAATTTTATCTTTAAAAAATCAACGGTTAAAAATTAACCGACAAAGTTGTAAAAAAAAAATCTTGACAATAATAAATCCAATATAAATCAGGATCACACATAAACACCGGCATCATAATCATTTATTATCTTGATGCAATAATCCAAAAAAACAAAACATTACCCGGATTTTTATTTTACAGATTAAGATTTTAAACAACTAAATCCTTCTCGTTATAATCGATTATTTCGATAAATTCGTCCTTCACACATGCCACATGCAAAAAAGCGCAAAAAAAAATCGTTGCTTTTTTTATGCAAACCAATTTTCACGCGCATTTCAATCAATTATCATCAAATTGGAAAATTGCGATGAACCCCTTATAAAAAAATTGACCACGAATATTATCATCAGAAACCATCATCGACCAACCAACCGAATGCCAAGCCCAATATTCTCTCCCCCCATTACACCACTATCTCATTTTCTTTTGTTCGAAATGACCCACACATGTGTCATTTTTGTAGTAGTGGTCAAATGCGGTGTATCTTTATTTATTCAACGTTAACGTCAGTGACTCATCTGTCTGTCTGTCCTTCATTGTCGCGCCCATTTTTTGTTCGTTTTTGTTAACAAGAAGCCGTTGGATTTTTTTTTTTTTGTTGATCAAAATTGCGCGCGCGCATACTGCATTATGTCAAAAAAAAATTAAACTGAAACGATAGAGTCGCCACCAATCTTGATATTAATAACATTAATTTGAACCACTTCTACGTTGTTTTTTTTTCTGCTTTCAAATTGAATTTTCGAACAAAATAATAGCTACCACAGTGTTGGCCGCCAACAACCATTTCATTTATAACCGTCGTTTCCTTCAAGCACACCGCTTATAACAAAAAAAAAAGTTTTTTTGATTTTTCGATCGTTGAATTTCTTTTTTTTTTTCGCTTTTGTTTTATCATTATTCTCCATATTGCACTGAATTTTTCTTCACTTTTTTTAAAAAAAATATTAATTTTCACGGATATTTCAAACCGATCATCATCATCCAAATTAATTATTTGAAGAAAAATTCGGTTAGTTTTCTTTTTGCTCTCTTGCAAAACTACATAGATTTATATCGCGTCATCATTACTAACTTCTTTTTTTTTGTTTTTTTCACTTTTTTCTCCTGATATAAAACAAATAGCCATTTGTTTGATAAATATCATACATTATATTAGTATTTACAATCGTTTGATTTGATTGTCATCTTCATTTTCTTATTCGTTTTAATCACCAAAACATAAAACAAAATGCGTGAAATCGTTCATATTCAAGCCGGCCAATGTGGTAATCAAATTGGTTCGAAATTCTGGGAAGTCATCTCTGATGAACATGGTATCGATCCAAGTGGTTCATATCGTGGCGATAGTGATTTACAATTGGAACGAATTAATGTTTATTATAATGAAGCTTCGAATGGTAAATACGTGCCACGTGCCGTTCTTGTCGATCTTGAACCCGGCACCATGGATTCGGTTCGTTCAGGTCCATTTGGACATCTTTTCCGACCTGATAATTTTGTTTTCGGCCAAAGTGGTGCCGGTAACAATTGGGCAAAAGGACATTACACTGAAGGTAAGAATTTGATTGTTTTTTACTATTTTCCGTTAAGAGCGCTATAATTACATCATCAATTTGATAATTTCCTAACATTATTATTAATCCTATGATAATCAGGTGCCGAACTTGTAGACGCTGTTCTTGATGTTGTCCGCAAAGAAGCTGAAGGTTGCGATTGTCTCCAAGGTTTTCAAATGACTCATTCATTGGGCGGTGGTACCGGATCCGGTATGGGTACATTGCTCATTTCGAAAATTCGTGAAGAATATCCAGATCGTATAATGAACACATTTTCGGTTGTACCATCACCAAAAGTTTCTGATACTGTTGTTGAACCTTATAATGCCACACTTTCTGTACATCAATTAGTCGAAAATACTGATGAAACATTTTGTATTGATAACGAAGCATTGTATGACATTTGTTTCCGAACATTGAAATTGACCACACCCACCTATGGTGATCTAAATCATTTGGTCTCTGTAACAATGTCTGGTGTTACAACCTGTCTTCGATTCCCTGGTCAATTGAATGCTGATCTCCGAAAATTGGCTGTCAATATGGTACCGTTCCCACGTTTACATTTCTTTATGCCTGGCTTTGCTCCATTAACATCACGAGGTTCACAATTATATCGTGCATTGACTGTACCTGAATTGACTCAACAGATGTTCGACTCTAAAAATATGATGGCAGCTTGCGATCCACGACATGGTCGTTATTTGACTGTCGCTGCCATCTTCCGTGGCCGTATGTCAATGAAAGAAGTTGATGAACAAATGTTGAACGTACAGAACAAAAACAGTTCATACTTTGTTGAATGGATTCCAAACAATGTTAAAACTGCCGTTTGCGATATTCCACCACGAGGTTTGAAAATGTCGGCCACATTTATTGGCAATTCGACTGCCATCCAAGAATTATTCCGTCGTATCTCTGAACAATTTACTGGTAAGTTTTTTTCCCACATAACAAATGAGTACAACATTGTAACAATTTGTTTTTCAAAATAGCTATGTTCCGACGAAAAGCTTTCTTGCATTGGTATACTGGTGAAGGTATGGATGAAATGGAATTCACTGAAGCCGAATCAAACATGAATGATTTGGTCAGCGAATATCAGCAATACCAAGAAGCTACAGCTGAAGATGAAGGTGAATTCGAAGAGGAAGAAGATCCCCAACAAGAAGCTTAAATTCACACTTGAACATTTGAAAAGCGCTTGCTAAAACAAACATACAAGAAATTAAACATACACCTCACACAAAAACCGGAACAGTTTTTTTAGTTTTAATATCTGCACTTTCAATTTTAATTGATTTCATTTTTTAAAATAAACAAGCAGAAATTTTTTAAATTTTGTAGCCTTTCAAATTTGAATTTTGACAACACAAAACACACATGAACCGCATTCATTATGATTTATCAAATTTGATTTTCATTATTTCAACAACCATTCATTCATTTAATTCATTTCTTACCTTGATTATAATTTCTTTTATTATTAATTTACCATGAACTAATGATTTGATTTGATTTTCAAACATGAAACAAAAAAAATGATTAAATCAAATTCCATAAACGAAACAAAATCGAATGCTTTTAATTTGGGCAATAATTTCCTGAAGTCTTGCATAAACGAGATGATAAAAAAAAGATCATCTCTTTGTGGTTATCCTTTTCCAAGTTTTTTCCATTTATCAGATATGACTACGACGACTACAACTAACAACAAGTCAATGTTAATTTTGATCATCATCATTGTCGCTGGTTGTTGTTATTGTCGTCGTCGTCAAAGTTGAATGATGATGATCGGTTTAACGATATTTTGTAAATATAAAAATAGATATTACATTTTTTTTCATGTATCATCATCAACGATCAACTTGTTTGTCTGTGTCTCGCTTTGATCTTTGTATGTATGTTATACAACAAAAAAAAATGGTGTCTAAATGGGTAGCCAACAACCAACCAACCAACCAACAACAATAACAAAACGATCATTTCATTCATTCATTTCAAAAGGCTTTACCAAAGAAAAAAGTATTGATTGATTGAGATTGATATTGTAGCCAAAACAACATAACCAATCAACTATATATATAGTGAGAGAGAGAGCATGATAATGATGAAAATTGATACAAACACCAAAAACAAAAACTGATTTGTAATTTATGATTAAAAATGATTATGATGAAAGAGAGGAGACACACCAATATTAACCATAGACAAAGAGATGATAGGAAAGGAAATCAATCGATAGTTGTTTTGAAAGAAAAACAACACTATCGATTGCCACCGGTTTATGATTGTTCGGAAGCTATTCGAATTTTTTTTTTGTTGAAATAAAGAACATGATCATCATCATAATCATTATTGAACACAATGATTGATTGTTCATCGATCATAATCAATGATGATGATGATGATGATTTGCACAATTTTTTTTTAAAGAAACAAAAAAAAATTGAATTTGATTTTTTGACTTTCAAGTTAGCTCGAAAAAAAAAACGTTTGAAAACAATAAAATTTTGGTTTAAAATCATCATCATGATCATTGATTCCCCGTTTTGAATTGTCCAAAAAAAAGTTTGTTGACTGCTTTTTCTACTACCACCATGTCATCATCATGTTTTATTTGATATAGAAAATATTCTCTTCATCATCATCATCATCATATGGTATAAATATAGTTTGTTTTTTTTTGTTTTCCGGTAATTTCCATGCTGATTATTACCATTACCATTATACCGTTGCCATCATCATCATCATCATCATCATCATCATCGTACAAGTTTGTACGCCAACGCCTTTCTTGTCCGAGTAAATGAATGAATGAATGAATGAATGCTGTAGCAATCAATCAAATCAGTACATATACTGTGTGTGTTTGTATTTGGTTCCATTTTTTTTCGGGTTAATTCTGGCCAATCACAAACACATAGACAAAATGAGGAAAAAAATTGGGGAAGACTGTCCAGGCAATAAACTAAATAAAAAAAAATTGTCCGAATAAATTTTCCGAAAGAACTTGTTACGACAATCATTGACAGGCATTTGGCGAAACAAACAACCAAATCTATACTAAATATAAATTGGTTGGTTGGTTGAGGTCAGTGGACTTCAATGTTGCTGCTGTTCATCATCATCGTTGTTGTTTTCTTCGACGTCGTCAATGAATTTTACCCGATTCCGACCAAAATGTTGATGATGAATGTTTTTCTTATAACACAAAAATACAGTAAAATTTCGTTTATGATTAACACAAATAATCTGTTTCGGTTCTGTTTTTTTTTGTTGGTTGATCACAGTTTATTTTCTAAAATTTAAATGGAAATGATTTATAATTATTATTATTACATTCATATCATCGTTGTAGCTGTATTCTTTTTCAACCACATTTCACAAATTTTTACATAATGTTGATCATTAGCATTACGAGCCGCCATTAATACATGTTCAATATTGGCTGCCAGTCCTAATTGTGCAGCTAATAGATAGGCTAATTTTAATTTTCCCACCTGAAGATATGCATCAATACGACGATTATCATCAACAATTAATTTGATTATAGATTCTTTTAATTCAGATAATTTCGAACGTGTCAATCCATTGATTATAGTGATTGGATCTAATTGTGAATTGGAAAGACGAATCAAAACTGTCATGATAGATTCAATAAAATGTAATAAATCAAATATTATATCATCGGTCGATAATTGTTCAATCTTTTGTGATGATATCGATATTTTTTCCGAATCTAAACGATCCTTATTATCATTATTGCCATCATTTTTATCATCATTATCATCAACATTAATCGTAGCCTTTGATGATGACAATGTTGGTTGAATAAATGATAATAATTGTCTCAAATCATTGGAAATTTTTTCCACATTAGAATTTCTTTCCAAATGTTGGGCAATCAAAAACATTGTACACATTCGAAATATTAGCTTTTCATTTAGATGATGATCCTAATCAAAAAAATAAAATAAAAATTAGTTCAAAAATAGACATTTTTCTTTTTACATCCTACGCCAATGTTGCATTTTGAGAGAAACATTAATCAAATAAGAATCTAGACAGAAAACAAAAAAAAAAGATTTATACCTGTATAATACGTAATGCACAACGAAATCCATCTTCAATATCAACATCATCAACATTATTATCATCATCATCATTATGAATAGTTTCATTACGGCCAACTGTTGCTGTATTGGTGGTAGTTGATGATGAAATATTTTTATTCTGACCATAATATAAAATGACAAAACCTGTGATTAAACTTTTTCTTATCGGATCATGTTCCAATAATGTAGGTGGATATGGTAATCGTAATGATGATGATGATTTTTGTTCCGTTTGTTCCATCAATGATGATGATGATGAAAATTGTTGCCAAATTTGTCGCTGTAAATATGCCAATGCATATGCAGATAATATCAATGGAGTAGATGAGGATGATCGATAAGTTTTTGATTTTTTAAATTGATTTTCCAATTCATCAACATTATCGTTGTTCATAATGATTGTAACTGGAAATAAAATTTTTCTTCGTCTAAATCGTCTCAGTATATCGATTTGTAATTCAATCAAACGAATCTGTTTGTAAACATCTTTTTTATCCACCGAAAGACATCCACGTTTTAAACGTATAAAATCAAAATTATGTAGATACATATTACAATAATCTTTAGCCTTTTCCAGATATGATATACGATTAAATAATAATTCAAAATTATTTAAATCCTGATCATGATTATTATTATTTGATTGATTCAAATCATTTGATGATTGAAAATTTGTAAATAATATTGTTGATGATAGGAAAAAATGATTAATCTGTGTAATAGCAGCCCGTAGATAATCATTCATAAAAATTTGAACACGATAAAGTGTATGAAATGATTCATTACGATCAAGATATTTACAGATATGTATTAATGATGATCCAAGTTGTTGTTGTTTTGGATCGATCAAACGTATTGCTGCAAATAATTCACTTAAATGTCCATTTATCTGAGCTGGAATGAAAATTTTTTCAAGGAAATTATTTACCATATTTGATTTAGTTTCTTTAACATTCGTTGATGATGATGATGATGATGATGATGGCGGTTGTCGCAAAAATGAATCAATAGCTTCTTTCCAATAAAAATGACTAACATAAAATTGTAATTGATCATCTTTGGATCCATATGTTTCAAGATAATAAACAATTTCTTGTAATATTCGTGGTTTTAGTTGATGATTCACCAATGTTGATATGTTTGTATTGTTTACCATTTTGGAGCTATTGGATGTATTGTGTGCTAACGCAGTAGTATCGGTAAAAAAATCAAATTGACCGAAAATAATTCTTGAACATTTATCTTTAATCGAAATCGTTGTCAAACTAGTCGAATTCACCGATACTAATGTTTCGATAATCATATGCAATGTTTTCTGTATATCCGAAAATCGTTTAACCTGATCAAAATAACGGCCAAATTTTTGCCGTGCTTCAGCAAAATGAAAATATTTTAACGAAATTAATGCCCATGATTTCCAAATCGAACTATATTCATAACCATATTTTTTTGCTATATCAATCGTCAATTCAAATCGTTCGGCTTCAAGTAATTTTTCCTGCAATTTTTGTATATTATTATTCAATACTAAACCAATCATTTCTTTACTTCCATAATTTGCATTAATCAACATTCTTATTACATCTAATCGATCTAGATACCGATTCAATTGTTCAATATCACTTGATGATGATGATGATGATTGATTTGTATTATTATTATTAATCGAATGATGATCATCATCATCAAATGCAACACGTGTTGAAATCAATAATGAACGTATCATTTCAATCAATAATGTTGAATCAACATTACGTGATGATATTGTTTCAATTAATGGTGCACAAATTTTATCGATAATAAATTTACAGCTTTTTGTTTTGTTCGAATGTAAACGTAAAATAGCTAAACAAAGTGATACACTTGGACTTGATTCATATGAAAATTCTGAACGACGATTTTGATTATAAGTATCATCAACGATTGATAATTTCCATTGTGTACGACAATTATTTGAACTCATCGATTGTTGTTGCTGTTGTTGATCCAATGAATTTGTACTAATCTTACGATTTGTTTGAATTTTTGTTGACCAATTAAAACAATCATCACAAACACGAACAGGAATATTTGGATTAATTTCGATAATAAGTATAGCATTCGATGAACAACCATTACAAACAATACGACCACAACGTCTACAATGATGACGACGATTAATCTAAAAATGAACAATAAGAAAAAATGGTTAAGAAATTCAACTCAAAGAAAAAAAGTATTTCATAATCTATTTACCATTCCAAAACGAACAATTTGACATAACATACAATGTGTTTTCGATTGATCCGATACCCATTGATCTTTTGATGGTATTGTTTGTGGTATAAAAAATGGTTGAACATTTTTTCCAGCCATCATCATTGATGAATCGGATGAAATTATTGTCATATCTGAACCATCGAATGAATTTGAATCATATAATTCAATATAAACAGATTTTTGTGCATATTTTTCCACTAAATCATCAGCACAAATTAATTTATATTGATTAATAATACGATCTAATGATTCAATTTCACTATTCATCAGTAATTGTTCAACAATAAGTAATGGTATTGGTATTAGATCCAGATAATCTGATTGAATTTTTCGACTTAATAATCGAACCATTTCAATACCTAAACGATGACGTTCATATTGATCGATCATTACGTAACTTCCACATTTTCGATGAAATTGTATGAGAAAATCAATGAGAAAAATTCTTAGATCAAGATTTTCTGTTTGATTCAATATTTTTTCAGTTATAATAATAACATTATTTGATTTTGGATCATCCAAAAATCTTTGAAATAATCGTTTCAATGGTATATAATCATTTTGTTCACTATATGCATAGATTAATAATTCAATTAATAAATCGGCAGTATCATTTTCAAAACCATGAATATCAAACCAATCGATTGCTAGTGAATAACGTTTTCGTGTTTTGATTATAGTTAAAACATCGATTGTTTCAAGATTATTTCTTGCAGATTTCCATGATTTTAATCCGGTCAATTGGCCAACTGAAGCATAGAATTCAATTTGTTTTAACATTATTGTTAATTTTGATTTTCCTTCCGATACATCGATACCGAAATTTAATTCATCATTACGAATATTTTGTAAACCTAATCGAATCAATCGTGTAGCATAAAATGTTTGTTCATAAATTTCAAACGAATCCAATAGGCAAAGAATTAATTCAGCTTTCATACGAGGATCATGATGAATTTGAAAAATATATTTAGCATCTTCTTTAATGAATGCTAAACAAGCTAGAATTGCATTCTGAAATATTTGAAAACTTGTATAAAAATGTCCAGTAGAAAGTGGTGAAAATTGTTTGGGTGTTTGATCGGCAATAGTTGAAAAATCTTCAATCAAACGAAATAGACGATAAACTTGAATAAAATTTCGATTGGCTGTATAATGTTCAAGTGTTTTGATAACAACATTTTGACCGGCTGGAATTCGTGCATAAAATGCCAACAATAATGATGATTTTCTTAGATCATTATAATGAAAATTTTTTCGAATCAAATCTAACCATCGATGTATCGGTGATCCATCGAACAATTGTACATTTGTCGATCCAATATTGGTAATATTAGCAATTTGTGAATCATCTAACCAATCAAGAAGACGAAGAATTTCAACTAAAATTGGACATTTACTGTGAAAATAATTCAAAACATCTTGATTGATGATCGGTTGAAAATCAATCGAATCATTAATATTGGCCGATGATGATGATGATAGATCGTATTGTCGTTCATCAGCAAAATAATCATTAATAACAATATTATTACTATTTAATTTTTGATGAAAAGTTTTTGCACCTTGAAAATATAATTTAATCAATTCGGAAATTGATGGCTGACATAATTCGGTTATAGTAAATTCAATTGATGAATGTGGTAGAAATGTACTTGGAATTGTTGGACAAAATACTGAACATAAAACACCAATAAGATTAACTTTCATTACCTGTGCTAAATCATCGATAATTTTTGGTGAAATTTTACTTTTTATCACCATCGAACATAAAATTGCTGATGGACTTTGTTTAAGAATAGAAAAATTTGATGATGAACAAATCATGGATGTATCAATAGTTTGATTATGTTTATTATCATCATCATCAATAATTCGAATATCACGTTTTCGACATTCAACTAATGCATTATTCACTTTACAAACATAATAATATAATGCTTTCATATATTGATATTTACCTAATGGACAATTTGCCATTAATCGATCATAAATATGATTCAAATCATTTGATTTTATTTGATTTAATTGATTTTGTTCAGAATTCAATAGAATATCTGGATCATCAATTATTTGATGTTCAATTTCAATTAATAATGATTGAAAACGATAATACCATCGACATAATTCCGTTTCAATTTGTAATGTATCAATGAATATTTTTACATCCATAAACGATGATAATGTTAATGATTGTTCAAGATATTCATTCAATGATATTTGACTAATATCGATATGTTGTCCAAGATTTTTAATAAATTTCTGTATATCATGAATAAAATTTTCTACTTTTTCTGGTAGAATTTTATTCGTTTCATCCAACGTTGATGATGATGATTGTTTAAATTGTTCAAATAGATTATTATTATTTATAAATACTGATTCCAAAATTGATTGTGCAATTTCTAATGATGGACTTGATGATAATGCATAATCTAACATGAATATAATTTTTGTTTCAATTTCAATTGTATCCATTTTCATTAACATTTCATATAATAATGATTGTATACATGATGATCGTATACCGAATGTTGTAATATCATCAATCTTTAATCTATTCTGATTATTATTATTGTTACCAATTTCATTATTATCATCATGATGATGTTGATAATTTATCGATGAATGATCAATAAATTTCTGTTGAATATTACAAACTTGTTGATGAAATTCCAAAAAATAATCCAATAATTGCAGCTCTTTATATGGTTTAGAATTTTTTAAATCATTAGCAAATAATTTTGCAATCTGTCTTGAACTATCCAAACGATTTTCGGCTAATGTATAACATAATAGCTGTTGATATGATGCTAACATACATGATATTAATGATGTATCCGAATTTGTTTGTTGTTTATAATCATTTTCACTACTTGTTGATATTGAATAATGTCGATTTGGATAATCCATTTGTTGCTGTTGCGATTGTTCAGGATCTGTCGATTGTAATCCAGAATCCATCATTGTGGTTGCTGTTGATGATGATGATGTTTGTCGAAAAAATGCAGGTCGAATAACATCATAACGAAATCGTGCATCACTTACATATTCAAGCAAACGTGATATTCTTCGTTTTAGATTTTCTTGCCATATTTCATTATCATCATTAGTTGCTGTTGTTGATTGCTGTTTCGATGAATTAAAAAGATCGGAATTTGTTTTATATAACATTGTTTCAAGAACTTCCAATAATTTTGGTATCAACCAATTTGGACAGATAAAATTTGCGGTAGAAAAATTACTAATTGATTGTATCATTATTGATTTATGACGATTGGATTTTTGATTATTAACATTATTCGATGATTTTGTTGGCGATATTGTTTCATCCAAATAATCTTCATCATCATCAGATTTGAAACAATGATGATTACCATTATCACCATTATTTTTATCATTAATTTTTAAATCATTTTTTGTTAAAAATAATAAACAAAATAAATTTTCCATTATTTCCATACGAAATTCAAGGATATTCAATTCTTGTAAAAGATTTTGTAAACGATTCGAAATGTTTGTAATAAATTTTTCCAAAAAATTGATTCGATCATTAGCAAAAAATATACAGGAAAAAACTAAACGTATAATAATAAATCCTTTTAAAATTATTGCCATATTATGATCAAAATGTTCGATTAGATCACAAATATAATTATCACAGATATTATCATTATTAATCGATAATTGATCATCATTATCATCCTTATTATTCGATCGATTTAAATGAAAAAAATTATAATTTGATAGAATTTTTAACGGTGTTGTACCGGTCATTAAACCAGCAATAATTTCCAAACGAAATGTTGAACGTTCATGATTTAAGTTGTTGTTGTTATTCGAATTCGATGATGAACAACACCAATCGGCAAATTTAAATACAAAATCCAATTTATTCACAATACGAATGAAATATTCATCACGGTTTGTTTCACTTTGATGATGATTTAAATGTTCAAACATTGAACAAAGATTTGTTTCAATTTTAGAAATTTTTTCTTGCATTCGACCCGAATCTTCATGATTATTAATAATATGATATAATGATAATATTGTTAGAATAATTCTGGATTTTAACGATAACGATATTGTCATTTCATCCAATTGTTTCGAATTAATCGAATAATAATAATCCATAAATGTACGTAGAAAATGTTTTCGATCTTCAACAGCTAATAAAAATGATTGTTTGAGATTGAAAAATCTATGATCAGAATCAATAATTAAATTATCATATTGTCGTTGTTGATGACTTATATCGGCAATAAATTGAATAAAACGTTTACTATGTGCAAATAATCCATATGAATATAATGACATTAAAACCAATTCTGATTCAACCAATGATTTAATTGATGTTGTTGTTTCGGTTGTTGTCGTTGTGGTTGTTTTCAATGATCGTAAACAATCGATAATCTGTTTGATTAGATTATCATCATCATCATTATCGAAAACAGAATCTGGACAACAAAGTAATATTTTCAACATTAATTGTCGATTCTGATTCTTCAATGTATGTATCAATGCTTGTGAGTAGATTTTTTCAAAATAATTTGTTTTCGATTGGCATTTGAAATTTTGATCATCATAAACAATGGCTAAAATATTCATAACAATAGCGGTCGTTCGTGGATCTTGAAACAATGAATTTCGTAATTTTACACACAATGATTGAATAATTTCATTATCTTCGGCCAACGATTCATTATCGATGGTCATAATTTTTCGACGTCGATAAAAATCTATTGCATATGGATGTAATCCAGGTAATTTTGATGAACATATTATTGATAAATTTATATAATTTTGATCGGCTAATAATCGAATTTTTTGCTTAAGATCCACATTCGATATAATATCATCAATATTTGATTTGGAATCGAAAAATTTTCTCACCATCAAATGTATAAGCCATTGTTTATTTGAATCGGAATTTGTTTCAAACAAATAAACCAAATAGCTTAATAAACTATTTATATGATTACGATATTGTTTATCGAACAATAGTAATGATTCGTCGTTGTTGTTGTTGTTGATGATGATCACATTTTTAATAAAATTTTCAATGGCAATTTCATTGATAAATGTATAATTACCAATTTTACTTGCCAATTCAATCTGTTGTTGTAATTGTGTCAAAGTTTTATCTAATGAAATTGCCCGAAATAATGATGATTGTTCCATAATTATATCTTTAAAAAAAACTGGAAAAAAATCTCAAAAAAATCAATGAAAAAATTTTGAATGAAAAAAAGTTCCAATTGGAACAACAACAACAAAAATTCGGCGCATTCGATTCGAATGTTTACAAAAATCCAAACATCAACAACAACATATCGTCTGTATCCACACAATCAGTATTGAGTATTAGGTGTATTTTTTTCATTCCATTTTATCAAAACAAGAAAAAAATTGATGGGTGTTATTCGGATTTTTTTTGGGTGAAAAAAAATCTTTGGCTATCAACTTTTAATGCAACAAGTCATCACAGATGATATTGAAAAAGAAGAAAAAAAAATTTTTAATCTTATGTCAGGAGTGGGATTCGAACCCACGCCAACAAATGTTGACTGGTATCCTCTACGTCACAGTGTTAAGTGTGATGTAAGGTTGTGTGCTGTTTGTTGTCATCAACCCATTAGACATATCGATGATAATCAACAATTTGTTAATCATCCGAATGTCAAGTTAAACTAACTTGAGACCAGCGCCTTAGACCGCTCGGCCATCCTGACGGGAAGTTATATGTTATTGATTAACAAACATCTTTGATTGAATTCTTAAGAATTTCAAAAAAAAAAACAAAAATTGAGAAAATGAAATTCTCCACCAAAAAAAAACGCAAAGCAAAAGAATATAAAAACTTGATCAGAAAATAACATTTTATTTTTATTGAAAAATATTGGCAAAAAAAAAACAAACATTTTTGTTAGTGATTTTTCATCATCATCATCATCATCAACATCAACAGATAAAAAAAATTCAAAAAATTCAAATCGAATTTAAAAATCATTCAAGTCCAACCAATGGAAATATAATATAGGTATTAATACCGCATAAATTTTCACCACGTTTCATACGGAAAAATCCTTTATCACCCCAACCAGTACCCCAACTATTTTTAACAATCCATGCTTTTTCATCCCAACCAACAATAACGATTGCATGATTGGTTTTCTTATCACATTTTTTATTTTTATAAACACCTTTTTTTAAATTTTTCATATTAGCCAAATCATCTGCATTGATTGTACTATAAACTGGTCCAAATTCTTTAATTAAATATTGTATATCTTCATCGGATAATTCTTCTTTTTTTCCATTCAATGTTACATATTTTCCACGAACACAATAATCATCGATAACAGCAGCACGATTTTTTTTCGTTCCACGACAATTTCCATCTTTTGATTCATATGGATATGATGATTCATCAGTAAGACCATCAACGGTAAGCATATAATTGAATGAATCTATTGCTGTACCACCATTACATCCTTTACCATTTTTCTTTGCACAATCAATCAATTCTTGTTCACTTAGATCAAAACTTTTATTTTTAGTTAAACCATTGATTAGATATGCACTTTCAACTATTGATGTTGATACAAATGCCCAACAGCTACCGCATTTACTTTGAAATTTTGGTTCAGTAACCATACCTTTTTTTCGCCAATCAAATGTTTTTGGTAATTTATCACGATTTTTAGCTTTACATTCATCGGCAACTTCAATTGCACGTTTTAAACGTAAACGTCCACCATTATTACCACTGCTGCCACCACCACCACCACGATTTCGATTACCTGATAATGGATTCAATGATCCTAATGATGGTGAACGATTACCACTTCTTGATGATTTTCCTTGTTTACGATTATTATAATCATTATCAATATTATTGGATATTTTTTCACCCAATAATATTTTATATTCTTTATCATCCCAATCGGATAGCTGTGTTAGACCAAGTTGATATTCACCAATATCCGCAATACAGGCTATTGTATAATTTGCAATTTGCATCATTGAATCGAATAGATTTTTCATACGTTTTGGGAATTGTTTTACATCAAAATTTTCTGGAAAATTTTTCTGCAAAGGAAAAAAAAATTTAAAAATTTGAAAATTTGAAAATCAAAATCAAATCAAATTATAATTACATAATATGTACGAAGTGTTGATGCAAGATTTTGATCAAAAAAATTATATTCTTCATCCTTAACAGACATATCATAACATTCTTTAATTTTACTTAAACTTATTTTCGATAATGATGGAAATAATTTTGAAAATGTTTCATTCGGTTGTAGATTAGCAATGGATAAAAATTGTGTTATCTGATCGGTACGTTTATCAATTGTATCCATAATTTTTTGTTGATTTGGTGTTAATTTACGTATAATACCGGTACCGGGTAATTGACAATAACAAACAATGGCTAATGTAGCCATTATTATTATTAATTGTTTTAATATCATCTTTTTGTTTGTTTAAATTAATCAATCAATTAACACAAATTGAAACGAATTGATGAAACGAAATGCGCACAAAATAATTAAACCAAAAATTTTTGTCAAATCGATTTGAAATGAGAATCATGAATGTAATGATCATTCGAAATGAAATATCGATTACTTTTCAAATGAAAACCAAAAAAAGATTGAAACCAAAAAAAAGAACATCTAGTGAAAAAAAGAGAAAAAACCTGTTGAAATCTTTCAACATTTTCATTTTTGATTGTAATCGCACTCACACACACCATACAATCAGTGTACATTTATTGATTGATCATTATCATCGATTAATGAATTTTATTTTTTATTTATTACAATTCTCATTTCTTCAGGATGACCATGAATTTTTTCTTTCTTTCTTTCATGAATTCATTTTTATTACATTCACAAAATGAAAAACATCCTAATAAATCAATTTAGAATTCAAAAAATCTGTTTCCCCAAAGATTTCCAAAAATCGAATCATTCGAATTCGAATTCTTATATTCGATAGTGATGGTGGTGGTTATCGATATCGATCTTTTGGAAGAAATGATAAACAAAAAACAAAAACAAAAAAATATTGAAAATGAATTTTTAATTAGCAAAAAAAAAAAAAAATTCCATTTTCATAAATTGATAGAATACTGGTTGGTTGTTGTTGTGATGGCCATTTGCAATGAATCTTTTTTTTTAAAATAACGAAAATCTACCAATTTTTTTTTATTTTGAAAATAACGATTTTTTTTACGTTTCGTTTTGAAATGAAATTATTATATTTATAAAGAAAAAAATCTCTTCGAATCATTTTCTTTTTTTATCTATTTCTTGATCCATTTCGTTTTTGATTTGATGCTGATGACGGATATACTGATGATGATGGTCGTTGTTGTTGTTGTTGTTGTTGTTGTTGACGACGTTGTCGATCGATTAATAATAATCGTACAACATAAATAATCATTGATAAACCAATTATTATTACTATTGTCATTACAATTATAATCCATGCTGGTAATCCTGGATTAATATAATCGGTTGCTGATGTTGCTGGTGTTACTGTTGTTAGATCATCATCACTCGATTCTAATAGATTTTTTGTTGTTGTTGTTGTTGTTGTTGTTAATATAGTCGTCATTATATCTACCATCTTTTTCCTGTTGTTGTTGTCAAACGAAGAAAGTTGTCAAATAATTTCAAGAAAAAAAACAAAAAAAAAATGAAACCTGCTTTTACTTTCAACGACAGAAACTTGAACGTTTTAAATTCGAAACTTGTTTTTCAACTTTTATAATTGTGGGAGAAAAACCAATCAATCAAACTAAAAAAAATTCGAAATTTTTTAATTCCTTTTCTTTTTCTGTTTAATCATTATAAATTAATCAAATTATCAATCAAGTAATAATGTTTTACAAAGAATTATGATTCGATTTTGAATAATAAATAATTAAGAAGAAAAAAAACATTGCGCTTGAAATTCAAATAACATGAATTTGGAACGAAACAAATCATGGTAATTATGATGATGATTATGATTATCATTTGTTTTGCAATAAAAACAAACGATCAATCAATAATTTTTGGAGAATCGTATATCAAAAACCAAAAAAAAAAACGAACAAACAAAAATGGAGTTTCGAAAAAAAATAAACATTATAAAAAAAGAATTATTCGAACATTTTTTTTTTCTACTTCGAATAATTTTTCTTGAATCACAATTTGGAAGTTTCTTATCTCTCTTAATGATTATCTTCTTTTTTTTTCATTCACCATTATTATCATCATCTTGAGGATTTGAATTCTTGGTAAATCTTTGTAATCTTCGTTGTCTTATTAATTCATCTTGATCATTATCATTATTATCAGGATTATCACCACCAATATGATGAGAATTTTTAAAGATTGTAGATCTTAATGTTGATGATGATGATGATGTTGATGTTGATTGAGCAGATGGACTAGATAAATTATTTACTACATTGGATGATTTTGTTTCATTCAATGTATTTGCCGTTGATACGGAATTTGATTCTTGTTGTTGATCAACAACATTCGATTCAAATGTTGTCTGTGTACCAATCGAATTCTGTATCGGACAATTCAATATTACACAATTATATTGCTGTAATCGTATCATTGCAGCTGTAATTAATGTTTTAACATCCATTAAACATTTTATACGTTGTTCAAGTTGTTGTCTAGTTTGTCCTTCTAAATATCTTAATTCATCATCAGAAAATCCTTGTAATAATGTATCAATCGATGGTATTGATGGCATTGGAAATGGTGGTGATTGTAAAAATGGAAATACAGTAGCTGGTATCGATGTTATTGATGGTAATGTTGTTGTTGTTGATGTTGATGATGATGATGATGTTCCAGCATTATTATTTGTACCATCATTTGTTGTTGTTGTTGATGATGATGATGATTGTTGTGTTGTTGTTGTTCCTGGATTCGAATTTTCTCCTGTTGTTTGCTGTTGTTGTTGATTATTTGTATTTGATTGTTGTTGTTCACGTCTTTGTTGTTGTTGTCCAAAAAATTGATGAAATTGTTGAAAAAATAATGGATGTGTAAATGGCGGAAATGGTATCTGTCCATTTATTTGTTGTTGTTGTTGACGTTGTTGTTGTTGTTGTTGGTTATTTGTTAATGGTGTTTGTGGTAAATTATTATTATTACCCGGTGGTTGTTGATTATTATTATTATTATTATTATTGGCAGCAGCCGCAGCTGCTTGTCCATTACCGGCTTGTTGTTGTTGTTGTTCTTGATTAACACGTAAAATATCCATACGACATGTTGGACATGTTTGTTGTCGTTGAAACCATGAACGTAAACATGATATATGAAATATATGATTACATGGTAATTTTTTACAACTACCATTACCTAACATATTTTCACGACAAATTATACAAACATTATCCGAATTTTCAATATCTTGTGCCGTTGCATTTGGATAATATGCATTCATATTACGTATAGCACGACGTGACATAATAACATCATTAAATGCTTTTTTAAAATTTCTATTTAACCAAAAAAAAAAAAATAAAAATAAATAAGATTAAATTTTAAATGAAAATTTATTTTTCAAACATTACCTAATTGCCAGATACATAGGCCGTATTGAAAATAATGGAAATGTATGTATTTTCATCATTATAAATATGAATATTAAATAAAGAGTTATCTTTAGAAAACCCATTATTAATTCAGTATAAAGTAAATAGATTGCCTTATCTTCCCATGGATTTTCATTATAAAGATCGAAAAAATGTAGAATATATTTCATTGCTATATTCAATATGATTGCAAATAATATTGCATACTGTAGGTTTTTTTTGTTGTTGTTGTTGAAACGATAGAAAAATTGATTAGAATTGAATTGAACATTTTCATTCATTGATTTACCTCGAAACCAAATACCAATTGTACGGAAGCACCTTTTGAAAGTGTACTATGATAGGCCATATAGACAAAAATTGCATCCAATACACCAAGTATCGATAACAATGCTATGATTGATGAAGAATTTTTTTTTTTTTTTGAATGACCAAAATTTGAATGAAAAAATTTAAATCAACTTACAAACAACACGGATATGAAAAAATACGGATATATTTGGACTACGTTCCATATAATCGACACGATCTTCGGCCAACCAATGAAAACATTTTAAAAATAATAACAATGTAAACAAGGCAACAAATTTTGGTGAAAGATCATCACGAAATACAGTGAATGCCAAACAAGTTTCGGTAACAGCATACCATGAACGTTCGATAAGATGTTCAATTTCGGCCGTACGTAATTGACCGAAAAATATTTTACCAATCAATTTACCAATCAATATAACAAGTATTAAACCTTGTAGATATATTATCTAAATTTTTTTTGGAATCGAAATCGAAATCAAAACGAAACAAATTAAAATATTTTTCAATTTTTTTAAAATATTTAAAACATACACCCATCGATGCATTCGATTTGGTTATATAGACCACAGATGGATAGAATTGTTGTTTTTGATAATATGCATTTGTTATAACTAATGATGATAATACACCACTGATAACGAATAAAAATGTTGATTCCATGAATGACATTGGCATATTGAATTTTATTTTTCAGAATGAATCAATTTTTTTTAAATAAAAAAAAAGTAGAATCAAGGAAACATTCGGAAACAAAAATATATAATAGATTCGATTGATCGATGAAATTTTTCTGAAGAAACAAAAATCATCAAAGAATTCAAGAATTTTCTTCAAGAAAAATGAGAAAAAGATTTTCGGCTGATAATGTTTGTTTGTTGTTGTTGCTGTTGTTGTTGGTTGAAAGTTGACGTGTCTCATCAATAAGCAGCAGTGGCAGTAGTGGTAGTCAGCAACTAAACAAAAACGAAATATGATTTTCCCGAGAAATTTTTCTTTCTATTGATTCTCCAAACAAATTCTTTAGATTTTGTTTTTTTTTGTTTTTGTTTTTTTAAATCTTATAAAAATCAATATTTAAAAAAAAAACAAACGACCAAATGGAGAAAAAATATCGAAAAATTTTCATTACAGTCGGTACGACACGTTTTGATCGATTAATCGAATCATTATTAATGCCCAATGTTATTTCGGTAATTATTATTTTTTTGCTTTCTCTCACCGAAAACATTGATTAAATTGATTGAATAATTGACTGATTACATAACCACAGGCATTACAACAAATCGGATGTGAACAATTAACCATACAATATGGCCGTTATAATGATCTAGATCAATTAAATTTATTTCAAATGTTACCAAATATTTCTGTAAAATTATTTGATTATGATTATAAATCATTTGAAAAATATTTACAAAATTCAGATCTTATTATTGGTCATGCTGGTGCCGGTACAGTACTCGAAGCATTACGTATGAATAAATCATTATTAATTGTTATTAATAATGATTTAATGGATAATCATCAACAAGAATTGGCTGATGAATTAGCTGAAAATAATTATGTTCAATGTACAGATATTGAAAATTTTCCCAATATATTATGTAAATTTAATACAAAAAATATACGTCCATTTCCTATACATAATCCATTATTGTTTCGAAATTTTATTCAAAATTTATTCAATCAAGAAACAACAACAACAACAACATAATCATATTCATAATCCCAAAAACATTTAAACGATAAATAAATCGGATAAATCTGAACGTTTAAATGTTGGAAATTTTACCTGTAATATTCGTGATAATTGTTCAAATAATTCCTGTATTTTGTTCTGTTAATTAGTGAAAAAAATTATTAAATTTTTTTCTTAAAATCAAATCACTTACATTGATTTGTTTGAAAATGATTGCCTCCGTTTCAACATTAGCTAAATATAATGACATTGATTTGGTTAATGATTCTTTACGATCAAGATATGCTTGTATCGATTCTTGTAATTTTAATTTTAGCATATCTTCCAATTGTTGATTATCGTTTGTTGTTGTTGTTGATTGTGTTTCAATCAGAATAAAATGACGAATCTGTTCAGTAAGATATTCATAACAAAATATTATAAATTGTTCACATTTTTCTTTAATTTTTGTATCCACTGCTTTTTGTGAATCAATAATTTTTTCATTCACTTGTGGTGAACTTTCGAATAAAAATTTTAACAATGCATTATTTGTTGTTAATGAAAATAGATTTTCACGTTTCTGTATCAGATCAATAACGGCAGCTATTTATTGGGGAAAAAAATGGAGAAAAATTAAAGAAAGGTTACAAATCAAAGATAAAATTTCAATTAAATACTTTTTGTACGAGTAAAATCTAGATAAACTTCTTTGATTGATTGATCAATTTGAAATGGTGTTATCTGTTCACGTATAATTAATAAATATTTAATAATAAATAGATAACTATTGATTGATCCTTTTCGTTGTCGAATCTGTATTGATGCCGATTCTAATGATTCAATACAGGCAAGTAATACTTCTTGTGAAAGACCTTGAAATGTTAATTTCTGTTGTTGTTTTTTTCGGGAAAAATTTAAATTCAATAATTATTTTTTGTGGAAATATATTTTTTTCAGAAAACAAAAACTTACATCCAAAGATCGATACAATTTTGATAAACACATTATTGAGCTACGAACTGTTGGATACCACATACCATGTAAATCAACAATAGCACCTTAGAATTTAAGAAAAAAATTTTAAATTTTTGAAACAAAAAAAAATAATCAACAACAACAAAAAAAACTTACGACTTGAAACAGATCTTGATGATTCGGATTGTGGATGATGATAACCACGAACAAAACTAATATCCGAAATTGATGATATAATCGAACTAACCGAATCAGATCGTTTCATTATACCGGTCGATGTTCCTGTTTTATTCTGTCCATCTTCATTATTTGTTGTTGTTTCAATTGTTTCTGATATTGATTTCATCATTTCTAATTTTTCTGGATATGCAAGATCACCACTTGCTGGTGAATAATTTAAAATATTTTTTTCAATATGTACATTACAACGATAAACAAGACGTTCTTGTGTATCCTGTAATAATTGTTCCATTGCCTTAACAAATGATTCTAATTCATCTTGATTAAGATTTTCTTCAATAAATTCAAATTTTATCAATGCACAAATTTCTGATAATGATTCTAAATGTTCTAAATGTATAATAATTGGTCTTAATTTATCATATAATGATAAACAAAGTTGATCTAAAAATTCATTAAATGTTGATGAAATTTGTGTAAAAAATTGAAAATATAATTGATATTCATCACGACAAATATGTGTATAAAGTTTTGCCGATGATCGTATTAATGAACAAAAATTTCGTCCACATGTTTCAATCATTTCATCCATTGCTAATGTAAGTACCGGTGTTATTAATGAATCACGAATTTGAAAATAACATTGATGACATTCATTAAGATATTGTGTAAAACTGATAGAAAAAAACAGAGGAAAATTAGATTTCTAATCGATTAAAGAGACAAATACATACGTTTCCGATTGTTTTGTACGATTTTCAATCTGTTGCATTAATGTTTTAATACGATGTGCATTTAGTTGAAATTTTCCATAATATAATGTAAATACCGATTCATTCGATGTTAATACAGTATCATTTTCGGGCATTACTTGTGTTTCGGTTTGTTTTAATGTATTTATTACATGTGTACGTATTGTAGCTAATGCTGATGTTTGAAAACGACGATAATCATTAAGATATTTACCTGCTTCAAGATAATTATCAATATTTGTTGACATAAATTCAATACATTCATCTAAACGATTTAATAATGGTATTAATGATTCATTTAATGTTAACATTGTTGGTGATGAAAATTTTTTCGACATTGTTTCAAGATCTTCAAAATATGATAATTTTTCATTGATTGCTTCGATTGCAACAAGTAAATTTTGCTTTTTTTTCGGAACAAAAAAAATAATTAAATTTCTCTTAAAGATTAAAGTAAATTTACCTGTTGCTGTAGTAATTGATCACAGGAACTATAAAATGATTTTGTTTTATCAATAGCCGATGAATATTCTTCATCTAAACGATTTAGGCTAGCTAAAATTTCATCAACTAATCCGGTTAATTGTATACATAATCGATAATGTTCGTTAATTTTTCTAAATGAAAAAGTTTAAAATTAAAATTATCATGCGACGAAAAATTGAGATTGAATTCATACCTAAAACGTTCATCATTGTGAACATGAATATCATTCTCCAGATTGTTATACCATTTATAAAACTGATTGATGCCGAAAAAAAAAATTGTTACAAATTGCGACTAACTTTTATAATTTACGCTTACATCCTGTACATTGTTGAATGATTTCGAATTCTTTTTCGATTCATCATCGGTTCGATGTTTTTCACCATTATCATCATTATCCTTTTGAATCAGAATGATATAATTGATTGACGAAAAAAAATTGTTTCCAACAAATTCACAAACCTTAATCAAATCGATTAATTTATCGATAAATAATTGTTGATTATTCGATAACGGTGCTAACGAATCATTATCATCACGTTCCCATAGATCTAGAAAATCCGAATTCATTTTGACCATAATTTTTTTCTCATTATAAATTCTTAATTTTTTTATGGAAAAAAAATTAACGAAATTCTTTTCAAAAAAAAACTGTATAAAACAATACGTGTTTGAAACACACGTATACTATTTTAACCTTAACGGTTGAACACACCTGCCGTATGTTTTCGTGTAAATATATGTCCAAAAGAAAGAAAAATTACACGAAGCCGAAAAAATATTTATTTTACTCAAACATAAATTTTTCGATAATTTATTGCAATTAAATCATCTTTATCATCTTATAATAATGTTCATTTAGTTAAATTTTATATTATATTCATCATCATCAAAAAAAATAATTCCAAAAACAACAAAAACAATGTCAGCATCGGCAATCTATTTTCTTGATCTTAAAGGCAAAGTCCTTATATCAAGAAATTATCGTGGTGATACCGATATGAATATTATTGATAAATTTATGACATTAGTTGTTGAACGTGAAGAAGAAAGTTCATTGAATCCAATTATTCGTTATATGGATGCAACATTTATGTATATAAAATTTAATAATCTTTATATTGTTGTTACAACAAAAAAAGATGCTAATGTAGCATTAGTATTTTCATTTTTACATAAAATTGTTGCCGTATTTTCCGAATATTTTAAAGAATTAGAAGAAGAAAGTATACGTGATAATTTTGTTTTGATCTATGAATTATTGGATGAAATGATGGATTTTGGTTATCCACAAATTACTGATGGTAAAATATTACAAGAATATATTACACAGGAAAGTCATAAGATGGAAATTGCACCAAAAGTACCGATGGCTGTAACGAATGCCGTTTCATGGCGTACCGAAGGTATCCGATATCGTAAGAATGAAGTTTTTCTTGATGTTATCGAATCGGTTAATCTATTGGCTAATGCAAGTCAAGCAATATTGAATAGTGAAATTATTGGATCAATTAAAATGCGTGTCTATCTATCCGGAATGCCTGAATTACGTTTAGGACTTAATGATAAAGTTTTATTTGAAAGTACTGGTCGTGGTAAAAGTAAATCAGTTGAATTAGAAGATGTAAAATTTCATCAATGTGTTCGTTTATCACGTTTTGAAAATGACCGAACAATTTCATTTATACCACCGGATGGTGAATTTGAATTAATGTCATATCGATTGAATACAGCATCAAGTGTAAAACCATTAATTTGGATCGAATCGAATATTGATCGTCATCAACATTCACGTGTTGAAATTATGGTCAAAGCAAAAAGTCAATTTAAACGTCGTTCAACAGCTAATAATGTTGAAATTATTATACCGGTACCGGCCGATGCTGATACACCAAAATTTAAAACATCTATTGGTACTGTACGTTATACACCCGAAGTAAACAGTATGGTATGGACAATAAAATCATTTCCAGGCGGTAAAGAATATTTAATGCGTGCACATTTTGGCCTTCCATCGGTTAGTGGTGATGAAATTGAAGGACGGCCACCAATTCATGTTAAATTTGAGATACCATATTTTACAACATCAGGTATACAGGTTCGATATTTGAAAATAATTGAAAAAAGTGGCTATCAAGCATTACCATGGGTTCGTTATATAACACAGAATGGTGATTATCAATTACGAACTAATTGACCAAAACTTACTAAATATCATCAATAACAACTACAAAAAAACAACAAGAATTTCATTGACAGCCATTTAAATTTTAGAAAAAAAATTAATCAATTTTTTTATAAGTAAAAAAAAACTTTTTCAACAACATTTTATTCAGATGTTTTTGCTTTTTTCAAAAAAAAAAATTGTTTTCAAGTATTAAATTCTTCTTTCTTATTTTTACAAAGAATAAACTATACACCAGTTAATCATTGATGTTCATTTGGAATTTTTTTTAAGAAAAAGTTTTTTTAGTGAAGAATTTGTATTTTTTAAAAAAAATTAATCAATCAATTTTTTAGCTTTGAAAAATTGTCGTAGATAAATAATTTGCCAGATAGCTAAACCAAGTAAACATAACATTGAAAATATGCTTAGATAAAATATTCGAGCATTTGTTGATTCTGTAAAAGATGGGAAAGGAATTTTCAATTAATTTTTGAGAAAATTTTTTTTTTGTTTAATTTAATTCAATTTACCATTAGTATCGCGCATAGCTTGTTCACGTTTTTTCATATATTCAAAATCGCCAATAATTGCAGCGGATAGATCATCCAATTTTTGTAATTCCAATTCTAATGGTTTCAATTTAGATATGGCCGCAACTTGATCATAATTTTTTGCTTCAATACCATGTCTCATTTCAATATGTACTTCACGTGCTTGTGGCATTTGATGTGCCGCTTGAAAATATGATATAAAACAAAAATCAAATATATCATCTTCATCCGAATTGACGGCAAATATTCCTTTATCAATATTTTCACGATTAAAAGCGGCATGTCCTTTCGTATCGGTTATCTGAAATTTTTCAACAACAAAATTTAATAATCAAATATCGATAGAATGCCCGAAAAAAAATTACATACAATTAAATCGGTTCGAACACCAGGTGAATCACTGAGTGAATAATTACCGGTAACTAGAACATCTTTACGCATCTCTTCTTTCAAACATCTTTTTGTATTCGGTTGTAATAAAAATCTTATCGAATGACCAAATGGACAATAAATGGCCATTATAATGAACAAAACATTAATAATATTCATTATTAGTTTTGTTTTGATGACCAAAAAAAAAAGAAAAGTTTAAAAAAATTCCTGCCACACGACCTACAATGATATATATCACCACACGAATTGATACATCGATTGTTGTAGCTAAAATTTTTGACAGAATATTTATCGATATATTTACTTTAATCAATTACAACCGATATTTTCGGCTTATCCGAATCGTCGTCGATGATAATAAATGTGTGTGTTTGAGTGTGCAAATGTGGCAAAAAGAAAAAGAAAGATCACTATTTTTTTTTGTTTTTTATAATGCTGACGTTACCGTAAAAATAGTCAATATATAAATGTGTTAAAGTGCTGCCACCATAATTCGAATTTGTTCAATCATAAATGTAGATGGCAGCATTTGTTTAAATTTGCATGTGTTTACATAATATTGCCGAATCTCTTCATTCAGAATTTGGATTCCATAATTTGATTACTTTTGTTTTGTTTTTTTTTTTTGAGAAATTTTTACTTTATTTTTTTAAAGAAAATTAAAATCAAAAAAAATGACACGTCTTACTGAAGCACTTGTACTTGCTGTTGGTTTATTCGGTCTTTGGATTCGGCTGTTAACGATAAAAGAAATGGAAACCTATCTATCACGTATTCATCTACAATTGATGCCTATCTATACGATTTTGGTATTTGGTTTAATTTCGGCTATAATTGTATTATATCGTACGCTAACATTCAATGGATGCCCGGAAGCATATGAAGAATTGAAAATAGAAATCAAAGAAGCGAAAAATGATTTAAAACAAAAAGGTTTTAAATTTTGAAATTGTTTTTATTTTTATTGTAAAAAATGAATCATGAATTTCCAATTAAATTTTATTTTCTTAAAAATACAATGAGAGTATATGATTATTATCACAAAAAAATGTGCGAGCAAGTCATCAATCAATCAAATTTATTGAAATCGAAAATTTCTTCGATTACGATTAATACCACGACGTGGTGGTCTCGGTAATCCACGAATATTTTGCTGTTCAGGTGGCTGCTGATGCATTTGTTGACGTTGTTGTTGTTGTTGATGTGGATTTCGCATTCGATGACCATGCTGCATAATTTGACCACGATTTGATGCTTGTTGTTGCAATCTTTGTGGATTATCCGTCCATAATACAGGTTTTCGTTGAATTCGTGGATGCTGTTGTTGTGATGATTGCTGTTGCGATGATGATGATAATGATGCAGTCGATGATGATGGAGTAATCGATTCCGTTGATTGTTGTTGTTGATGATGTTGTGGCAAATGATCCATGGCAGTAATCGATGATGAACTTTGAGATGTAATCATTGCTTCAGAAGTTTTAGCCATTGATGATTGTGGTTGTGATCCTTTTACAATATTCAAATTCGATGATGATCCATCAGCAACCGAACATGTTGGTTGATTTATTCCATAAGTTGTTGGCATATCATTACTATCATCAGCAGCCATTGTTGTTGTCGTAGTTGCTGCTGTAGCTAGAAATTTAATTTATCATTAATTAAATCTCTCGATTAATCAATTCAAACAAATTTTTACTTACCAAAATTATTATTGGCAGATGTTGTTGTCGTTGTTGATAATGATGATGAACCTGGATGTGATGAACTAACTTCCGATATTCCGCCATTATTTTCAACAATCGATTGTTTGGTTTGTTGTTGTTGCTGCTGATCATCATCATCATCATCACTATCCAAATCAATAACTTCAATTTTGTTTCCATCATTTTCTTCTTCTTCCTCGTCATCGTCATCATCATCTTCTTCTTCATCTATATCATCATCATCACCACCACCATCATCTCCAATATCTTCATCAATCTCTTCATCTTCATCTTCAAGTATAGATTCATCACCTTCTTCTTCTTCGTCATCAACAACATCACCATGTCCTTCATCAGCTTCTTCAGAATTCGGTTGTTGTTGCCGATGTTGATGACTTGTTATATTATCATCTTCGGCTGATTCTTCTTCATCATCATCATCATCAATAGATTCTTCATCTTCAACAATTTGTTCTTCAATTTCATCTTCTTCATCTGCTTCCATTTCATCATCAATTTCATTATCAGAATGACGATGTTGTTGTTGTTGCTGTTGATGGTCCAAAACTAAATCACTTTCGATCGCTTCAGCTTCATCATCTTGATCATCATCATTATCTGTCATATCTTTTGTTTGTGATTCAGTATCTTCGTGAAAATCTTCATCATCGTCATCAACATTATTATTATCATCATCATCTTCTTGTGATTCCATTAAACCAAATTCTTCCTCATCATCATCGTCGTCGTCATCAGCAATATCATTACTATCGTTATCATCACCGATAATATTTCTACCACTAGATTGAGCTTGAATTTTTGATCGTTTTGTATTATTATAGCCACTACTTGATGGTTCATCAAACGATGTATTCTGTAATGATCGTTTATTTGATACAGATGTTGAAATTGAAGTTGATTCTACTTCCGAAACATTAATCGTAGAATCTTCAACTGGTTCAGATATATGTTGTTGTTGTTGATGATGATGATGATGATGATGCTGGTGATGATGAGATGTTGTCGCAGCCATTATATTACCTGATGATGATACAGATGATGATGTTGAAGGTATGGCAGCTATCTCTGCCGAACCCGAACTAACAGTGGAAATGGCTTGTGTTTGTGGCTGAACTGTTGCCTGTGGTAATGATGTCGAAGATAATGACGAATTTGTTTCTTTGATTGTCTGACCAAATACCTGACCAAAACGTCTAGTCGATGCAATCGATTTGGTCATCGGTTTGATACTGACAGTTGGTGTCGGTTTATTCGGATTGTTGGAAAAAACCAAAGTAGTCGACGATGATGATGAAGATGATGTTGATGGTTGTTGTTGTGGCAACACTGAATGTCTAACAGGTGGTATTGATGATGATGATGATGATGTGGTCATACCGGATATTGTTGTTGTTGTCGATATAGGTGATGTAGCAGCCATTGTCATCATTGTTGATTGTCCAACAACAATCGATTGTGATGAACCGGCTGTTGTTGCCAATAATCCAGTTGTCTGTTGTTGTTGTTGAGAAGATTTTAATTGTAAAGTTAAATCTTCAATCTGTTTATTTGCTGTTTGTAAATCATTACGTTGTTGCAACATTTGTTGATCATATTCATTACGTAATTGTTCGGAATCTGTTTCCAATTTATTCATTTTCGAACGTAATTCTTCTAAATTTTTCGCTAATGTTTCTTTTTCTTTTAATAATGATGATTTTTCTACACTTAAATCCGAAATACGTTGTTTAGCTTGTTGGGCAATTTTTTTAGCAATCTCTTCTTTATCTGTTGCATGTTTTTTTAATGATTCATTTTCTTGATTTAATCGTTGTAAATCCATTCGTAAGGATTCAACTTCTTGTTGTTGTTGCTGCTGAATATTCGATGATGAACCTGTTGCTGACGATATCATTGTAGGATCGATTGAATCACATTGAACTTCTTTATCAACCGTTTCATTTGTTGAAGCAACAGTTTGCGAATTCTTAATCTTACCAATTTCGGCCTTATATTTTCGTGCCAATGATCGTAACTGTGTAGTAACATTCTGTAGATTAGAATTTTCATCACGTAATTTTTGTAAATCTTTATTCATATCCATCGTTTTCTTTGATTGTTGTCGTAAATTATTCAATTCTTGTTCACATTGTGCTAACATTCGAGTTTTTGTTTCCAATTCATTTTTCATTTTAGCCAATTCTGTATTATTCATTTGAATCTGTTTACTTAACGATGTTTTTTCCATCATCAAACGTTTTACACTATCAGCATCAAAATTACGTAACTGTTGTTGAAGATTTAGTGCTTTTGTTTTCCAATTATCAATATCTTTTCGTAATAATTCTATTTGAATTGCTTCGGATTCAGTTTTTTGATTAAGATTTTGTAAAGATTTTTCTTTCGATTCGAATGATTGTAATTTGCCAGATAATTCTTGACATTTACGTTCCAATTGATTTAATTGTGTTTTTAATTGAACATTATTTTCACGTAATATTGGTACCATTTGTGCATTGGCCAAAATTTCTTTAAATTCATTCGACGTATTCAATCGTTGTGATGATTGTCGTTCCATTTCAAGCATAGATTTTAAATTATCAATTTCATTACGATAACTATTCAATTCAATTCGTAATTGTTGATTTTCATCATTAATTTTCGATATTTCCAATTGTAAACTAGATTTTTCTTCACGTAAAAATTTCACTACCGATAATAAACGTTCGGACGATTCTTTTTGTTGTTGTTCATCAGCCAAAAACATTGTTGAATTATTTTGTAATGCAATAATCTGATTAGTCATCTGTTCTAATTGATTCATTAATGAATCATTCACCTGTTCCAATGAACCACATTTTATCTGTAATTTTTCACATTCTTGTTGCAATGTTTTTCTATCGTTTTCAATCGAATCAATATTTGTACGATATTCTTCACGTAATTTAGATAATTCAGTTTCTTTTGTAGACAATTGTTGTTGTGAATGATCCAATTTAGTTTGTAATTCGAATATTATTTTTGAATCATCATTACGTTGTTGTATGGCTGAATCATATTCTTGTTTAGCTTTATCGGCAATCATTGTTTTCATTTGTAATTCTTCCAAAACATCATGTTCATTTTGATGTGATTTTTCCAATGCTTGCTGTAATTCATTCAATTCTTTACGTAATTTTTCCGTTTGTCTACCATAATCATTGGCATTCTTTTTCAATTGTTCAATTTCCAAATCTTTTTCGGCTACAATTTTTTCATATTTCTCTCGTAAATTCTTTAGATCTTCATTCAATTTAGCTATCAAAGACAATTTTGATTGAATTTCATCATCAATATTCTGTTTCATTTGTTGATTATTTTCGATTGCTTTATTTAGATTTTCTACCAACGATTGATTCGTTGTTTCTAATGTTGAACATTTTTCTTCCGAATTATTCAATTTTCCACGCAAAATTTTTATCTCATCTTGTGCCATTTGTAATTCTTTTTTACCACCAATCGAAACATTCATTTCATCACCCGAATCCGTAATCATTATCATTTCGTTTTGTGATGATTGTAGTTGTGACATTGTTGTCTGCTGCTGTTGTTGTTGTTGAGATTTCATTTTCAAATCAAAATGTTCTTGTTGTAATTGAAGATATTTTTGTCGTTCTTTATTCAATTGTTCTTGTACGTTTTCCAATCGTCCAGTAAAACTATCATTCATTTCTTTTAATTTTTCTTCCTGTTTTTGTACTTTACTTCGATAATAACTAATTTCTTGTTCAAAACGTTCCAATTGTTGTTGTTGTCGTCGTATAGTATCATTTTCAACTTTAACACAATTATCTTGCATCATTTTCATCGATTCAACCATTGTTATCTGTGTACGTATATCATTAACTAATCGTTCATTTTCTTTTGTCAGATAATCAACCTGACTTTTTAGCTGTACAGATTCGGAACGACAAAATTCCATATTATTATCTTTCATTCGTACCGATTCATTCAACGAATCAATTTGATTCTGTAATTTGATGATATTTTTTTCCAAATTTTCAACAATACTATTTAATTTAATATTACGTTCACGTAGTAAAATATTTTCATTTTGATATTTTTCCATCGTTACATTTACTTCTTGCATATAGGATTTTTGATTCTGTAATTCGTTGTTCAATCTTGATTGATCACTTTTAATTGTTGCATTTTCCTGTATCAATTGATTTTTATCCGATTCTAATCGTCGTACATCATCAAGATTTTTTTGCCTTGTTGTTTCTAAATTTTCAATAGATTTTTCCAATTTTAATTTCAATTCTTTATTTTCGGTTAGCATTTCGATCGAATCATATTCCATCGAATAATTTGGATTGATTAATCGTTTTTGTTTCTGCAACATTTCAATTATATCATTTTTCTGTTGTAATTCATTACGTAATGATTCTATTTTTGATTTCAATTCTTCCGATTCAGATTTCAATTGTAATTCACGTACATTTTCATCACCATTATTTTCATTCATTTTTTGATTATTCATTAATTCATCATTCATTTCATGTAATAATGTTAATAATTGACGATTTTTATCCTGTAATTCTTGTATATCTTTGAATAATATCATACCATTAGGTATATTTGTTTGTTGTTGTTGCATTGTTGAATCAGCCATTGAATTATCAAATACTTGAAATCCTTTAGCTTCTTGAATGGCTTTCATTAGATGAACAATCTGTAAGCTTAAATCTTGTGTTTCCTGTTGATAACGTTTTAATTCACGTTTCAATGTATTAATCATTTGTGTATCTTTATCTTTTTCGGCCATAAATTTATCTTTTTCCATTAATAATTGCATCAATTCTTCTTGTAATTTTTGATAATTTTGTTCAATCATTTCATATTCATGAATATTTTTATATAATAATGGTCGTTCTTCATCAATTTTTTCATTCATATCTTTCAAATCTTTTTCCAATCGTAAATTATTTGCCATAACACGTGTCAATTCTTGTTTAGTTCGTACTAGTTCATCATATAGATCGGATAGATTGACAACATTGTTTAGTTTACGATTTGTTTCGGAAGCAAATGGAAAATGTTTTTCAAATTCTTTTTCCACCATTGTTTTATTAAATTCATTCAAATGACTACGTACATTATCCAATTCGATTAATAATTTTTGTCGTTCATCTTCCAATTCTTTAACATCTTTCATATAGCTTTCTTTCATCGATTCAAATTGTAATTCCAATTCATTATGTGCTTCATAACCTTTTTGTATTAATTCACGTAATTCAGCAATACAATCATCTTTTTCTTGTGATTCTTTTGATTTTTCTTCAATATTTTTATTCAATAAATTGATAATTTCATTCTGTGCTTCAGTCTCTTTATTATATGTACTTTCCAATTGTGTACAATGAATTTGTAATTCGTTTAATTTATTGGATAATTCTTCATTTTTACCATCTTTTGATTCGTTTAATTTTTTCAATCGATTTATTTCCAATTTCAGAATGGCTATTTCATCAGCTTGATCTTCGATCTTTAGATTGGCCATCAATAATTTTTCATTGTTTTCTTTGCGAACATTTAATAATTCTTGTGTTTTGTTTTCCAATTCATCGTTTAATAATTTCAATTGATTTTGATAAAGATTTTTTTCCTCTTTAAAACGATTATCCATAAAACGTAATCGTATTTCATTCAATGATGTATTCATTGATTGTTCCAATGTTGTTGAACCATCATTTGTAGAACGTTGTGATGATAATTGTATCGTTTCTTTTAGGCTTGATATTTCGGTATTTTTTTGTTGTAATAATTCAAACATTTCAATCTTTTCATCTCTTAATTTTTGTACTTCACCGACAACATTATCATATTCTTTTTTAATATTATCACGACCTTTTAATAAAATGGATGTCAAAATTTTTAATAGACAAAATTGATCAATTCTAATAAGAAAAACTTACCCTGAAGAATTTCATAATATTCATGACGTGATTTTTGTAATTCTGTTTCAGTTTCCTGTAATTGTTGTTTAATTTTATCGATAAATTCTTTTTGCATAGAATTCTGTAGGCTTAGATTTTGTAATTCACGTTCCATTGTAAAATGATCATGATGTTCAACATTACCGATGCCGGTATTGTTGTTATTGTTGTTAGAAAATGACATGATGATCAATGTTTTTGCTTAGCAAAATCAGAAATCAAATGTTTTAAACATTTTTTTTTTCTCACCAAAATAGAAATGAAAATCACTTTAAACAACAAATTTTTAATTAAATTGAAAATTGTTTTGAAAATTTATTTAGCACGCGAATCGAACGCACAAAAACACACACACACACACAAACAGAGAAAGACAGTGAAAAGAAGACCAAACATTGGTCGCGGCCATCGATCATCGACAATCATAAACAATCGATTGTATCGTTTCAAAAATTGAAAATTTTCAATTTTTTTTTCGTAAATTTTAAAATTTAATTTGAAAAAAATTAACTAGAATTTCATCTATAAACAAATAATGATCAATTAAAAAATAAAAATTGATCATAATTTTTTTCAATCAACAATTTCTTCGATTTTTTTCTTCGATGATTTTTTTGATTTGAATCCCGATTCAATTTCTTCAATCTGTGCATCACGTTTTTGAAATAATGGTATTTCCTGTTGATCTCTATTCACAGCTCGAAATACATCAACATAATCGATAATATTTTTCGTATCCTCTTCAGACAATTGATATTTGGCTGCAATCTCTTCCACTGTACAATTATCTTCTTTATGACTAAGTATTATATCGACAATATCTAATACGGTAATTTTACCAACAGGCATTTGTTCTGGTTTATAAAATACAAATGGTAATGGTGCACCAAATCTATCCTGTGGTAATCGTTGTTTACGTTTTATTTGTTCTTCTTCATTATCACCAAATACACCACCAGGTTCAGGATTTCGATCATATGAATCTACTTTAACTGTTTTTAATCGATCGACAAGATTTTCATTTTTTGCATCCATTTGTTTGAATATACTATCATCTGTAATAAATTGATCAAATCAATTATCATCAAATAATTATCAAATCAATTCAATAAAAACCTTTTTTTAAATCATTAATCATTTTCTGTGTAGTTGGATGCCATGGTGCCTTTTTTGGTTGTTCAATTTTTCGATGTGCACGATTTTCAACATTAAAATTTTTAATAGGTTTTTCAACTGTTTTCTTAAATATACTTTTCAAAGTATTACCAACAAAACGATAAAATTTATCGATATTCATTCTATTTGAATTTAATTAAATTCCATATGAAGAAAAAAATTCACGATGAAAATTGAAATGTTTTTTTTCGGGTCTAAAACTACACAAACAGTTGGATCGTGTTGATATAGTCAAATGTTGATTTTTTTTGAATTTTAATTTTTTTCAAAATGAAAAATTCTACTTCCTATTCTTTTCTATTGAAATAAATCAAAATTACTAAAAAGAAGAAGATAAAACATTTAATATTCATCATTGATGAACATGATAATATTCATAACGATCTGTATCGATTAAATCAGTTTTATTATAGCAGATAAAATTTCGTATCTGATTACGATATCTAATCAAACCATTACCGGTAAGAAACCAATTCATTTGTTGATCACAAATCAATGGACATCCATACATATCGATAATATTTTCATTATTTTCTTGTAAAAATGTTTCAAATACATTTTGTTTTAATGTTTGTAACATTAAATTACAATAACCATAATCACCAAGATATAATATAATCTTACGACCATTACCACCATCGAATGCATTCGGTTCAAAACTATTCGAATGTAATTCATTTCCACTTAGATAAATTCGTAATTCATGTCTTGATTGTCGTTGAAATTGAAATGCATATGAACTAATATGATTGATTTGATTATTTTTCAAATCAATTTCTTGTAAATTTGTTGCACGATAAAATACTTTTGAATTGATTCGTCGTAATTGGCCACGTTTTTCTGGATTATAGAATCGTATGATTCGTACATTTGTAAATTTATTGAATGCTTTGAATGGTAATGTTCGTATTGAATGTGATTGAAATTCTAAAACATTTAGATTTTTTAACAAACTTAATGCTTTAAATGTTTTTCGTTTCAATCGTATTTGATCACTTAAATTTGTTGTATTTAGATAGATATTTTGTACTGAATATAATTGTTCACTTTGATTACCAAACGTATATTCATCCAGATATAATAATTTTGGACAATTTTGTAGATAAATATTTTCAAAATAAATATTTGCAAATAAATAATTTTCCAATGATTCCAGTTCCTGATCGATCATATAGAACCATTCAAATTTTCGATTATTATTTTTCGGGTAAATTTGTTGAAAAATTTGTCGTAATTGTGTCATACGATTACCAATACAGGTAATCACCGTTGAATGACATTTACGAGTTATAAGATTTGGATCATTACATTCAATATTTTTCACACTACCATCATTATATTTTGGCATAAAATTACAAAAACATGGATAAAGAATTTCATATGATGGACATATTTCATCCAGATTACCAAAAATTATTCCAATAATATTAGCCAATAATAATATTGATAAAATCAATGATTCTATTGAGAAAATTACCGTTAAAAAAAAGATTATTTTAACAAAGTAAAAAACAACAACAACGAAAAACTTACTGTTTTTGAAAAACATTTTGACGATATCATGTATAAAATCATTATACGAATGATTTTCCATTTGTTTTTTATCGACCATCATCCAACATTCATTGATTTGCAATTTGATCATGCCCACATCGAATAATTTATTCTTTACCACCGAAAATTATGTAAAATGTTCAGAAACAAAGAAAAAAATGGAACAAGGAAATTCTTACCGTAACAGATTCCACTTTCTAAAAAAAAGAATGATGACGATGATAATAACAGTTCAAAATGATAGATGAAATGAATGATGATTATATATCGAAGAATTTGTGACGCCCAAATTATCATTGTTGAAATTTTTTCAAGAATTTTCGTTCAGCCATTGATTGTGAAACCATTCATTATCTTTCTTTCTTTTTTTGGACAACAATTTCACTTTTATCGTCTACTATATCATTATCTAAATTGTTAGAAATTTGTTTCAAATTAATCAATTTTGATTTTTGTTTTTTCTGGCCATTCCGGATCCAGAATCCTGAAAGAAATCGAATAATCGATTGTTTGTTTGTTTTTTTTTTTGGTATCACTAGATGGCAGTAAGCGAAAAATGTAAAAATTCGAAGAATATTAATGTGCTCACTCATGTGGCATGTGCTTTTTTTTTGAAGTAAAGAACCACGCTGCTGAAGAACATTTTCGAAAAAACCACACCAAACAAACATTTTTTTGTTTTCGAAATTCAAATTTTAAATTTTTTTTTCCACATCAAAAATTATCATTAACATCGAAAGAAAAATGTTTCGATCACGTAATATATTGTCGGTTGTTGGTAATCAATTGATACGATCAAAACAATTATCACATCGTACTATGGTTAGTATTTGTCGGCAATCATCATTATTACCGATGATTTCATCATCATCATCATTATCATTGATAAATTCTCCGATTCAACAACAACAGCAACGATTATTTGCATCAAATGTACCATTGAATAAACGTGAACAAGAATTAACAGATTTTCTTGTATCCGAAATCGATTTGGAACGTGAATCACAGAAAAAACCGTTACCAAAAATTGCCGATTGGACTATAACAAATTCTGGTAGTGATATTGTTTTGTTTAAAAAATTTAACAACGAAGAAATTACAATCAAAGCAAATGTTTGCTATTCAGTTGATGCAGCCAATCCAGATGTTGAAAATGGTCAAATGGTTTGTAAACCAGAATTTGCTATCGAAATCAAAAAAGGTGATTCAATACTTGGTCTAAATTGTTCATTTATGCAAGATGATGAAAATGTTGATGATGGTGGACAACGTTTAGAGGATGATTTTCAAATAAATGAAATTTCAATTTATGAAGGTGAATTTCAAAAAAGTAGCTATGCAATTTCTGGTGAAGTAATCGATGGTAATCTTTATGATCTTCTAATGAATGTATTGGAAGTACGTGGTATTGATCAACAATTTGCTAAAAATCTAATCGAATATTCAACCATTTATGAACATGATCTTTATGTTGGTCTATTGGAAAATATGAAGAAATTTTTTTCAAATTAATTCGAAATTCGAATCAGTTTTTGGATTTTCAATCACTAATCGAAAAAAAATTCATAAATGTAGTTTTTTCTGATTGTAATTTTTTTACTTTTATTATTTTTTTCTATAATTTTTGTTTCCAACAAATCCCAATTATTATTGCCGTTTTTGTGTAGTTTGTATTATTAAATAATAATCATTGAGTAATTAAAAAAAACATTTTTTTTTCTAAATTGATATAACAAAAAAAAAAATTTTAAAATATATTTTTTTTCCGACGAAATAACAACGATATTCATCATCGTCATGATGAAGATGATATCGATGATGATGATGATAATGATGATGATTTTTCACTATTTTGTTGCGTTTGCATTTGTGATTGATAATTTCGATTATGTCGATGACGACGACGATGACTTCGATTATGATGATGATGACGATGAAAACAACAACAACAACAATTATAAAGATGACATTTTTTTGTCAATACACATGGTAATAATGCCAAAATAACCGGTGATGCTAATAACATTAAAATACTGATACCGATACAAATACTAATTGTTTGTGTACGATTTAAAAATATTGATAAACGTGAATGGCCAAGTTTATTTTTACATGGTCCAGAATCATAATGAAATAGGAGAAAATCATTATCCAATGATTGTTGACAATGCCAACAAAAAACATGGCAACAATTACGGCAGGAAATCTGTGCACAACCACCTTCACGTTGTATTAAATAATGACAATTTGGACATCTTTTTATATCGAATTCATTTAATATTGAATTATTTAATTCACGACAATCATGTTGACTATTTTCATCCGATAGTTTTGATGAACAGGAAGAGCAATATATTTTTGAACACTATACAACAAAAAAAATGTAAAATATTTTAAAATTTCAAAAAAATAACTTACGCTTGGACATTTGACAATTCGAATAGATTTTTGCTGCTCAACAACAACAATTTCATTATCAATTTCATTATTATTTTTATCAATATTATTTTCCTTCTTAATTTTCCTTTGAAACAAATGAGATTTCATATTATCATCATCATTATCTTTATCATTATCGATTAGATGTTGACAAAATGGACATTGTAATTGTTGTTGATTTTCCTGTTCATCATTATTTAATTTTGAATCAATATTTTGATTTTTAGTAAATAATGTATGAATTTTTTCTCGATATTGTTCATTAGTGATAATGATTTTAATTTCATCAATCGATATCGATTGTTTTGATAAACATTTATATGATGGACAGAAGATTTGTTGATGGCCATTATCGATCATGAAACGAAAATAACCATCTAAACACTTGTTTGTTTTTTTTGATGAAAATTAGATAAAAATTTTCAAAATTTCAAATGAATTCATTGAATTTACCTGTTTACAGAATGTACATGAACATAATATCATTGAATACATTTGATCGATTTGTAGTTCATCCAAACAGATACCACAGATTTTCATTTTTAATTGATTATCATTATCATCATCATTACCATCACCATCATTATCATTATCTTTTCGTTTCTTTTTCTTTGTCATTTTATTGATTAAAAATATACTTTCATTGAATTTGAAACAAAAAAAAAGAAAAAACAGAAAAATTTCTAATTAACAATCCAGTCAGATTAGGGGAGGGAAGGAGAGGAAAAACAAATCCAAAATAGTCATCAATTATTGTTTACTTACTGTTTTTTCATTGATTGCATCGTCGATTTGATTGATTGACTCTTTCTTAAATGAAAAAAATGAGTGAAAAAGCCATTTCAAAGACAATTCATTATTTTCAACAATCAATAGAATCTCAGTAGATTTTTTTCTTGTTTCTAACGAATCTCTAATCCGAATCCGGACAGACAGACGGACAGACAACAAAAAAAATATTCGAATGTTTCAATGATTCGAATGATTCGAATGAAATGAGAAAAATTTCAATGTAAACAATGACAAAACTTTATTTTAAACAAAAATTTTTTTCTTCAAACCAATCAACATGAAAATAATAATTTTGAAAACTTTTCAAAATTATTCAATAACATTCAATGATGTTTTATGTAAATAAGTTTGTTCGATTGATAAATCGATCGATTGATTGATTGAATGAATGAATTGAATAACATCAACAACAACCGACTTGAAGATGACGAATGGAAAAAAAACGACAGATTCTTTTCTATAGATCAAATGCAAAACAACAACAAAAAATAATAATCTATATATATCAACAAATTGTAGATTCTGTATACAACTAATAGAATTTGCGAAACAAAATCTCAAGATTCGACTCTTTTGAAATGTGTGATCTCGATTTTCATTATATAGAAACAAAAAAGTGAATCTTGTAAGTCATCATATATATACATCAATAGAGAGAATTGTGTTTTTCCTTGAATATGATGATTTTTGTTTGTTTGTTGAATTAAATCCATGTAAATATTCAAATGTAAATAATGTTGTCGATGATGACAAATAATTTTTTGTTTTGTTTTTCTGTATTTAGGTAAACCGATTTTTTCCCAGTTCGATTAATAATTTATGGATCTCATTTTTTTTGGGCGCAGTATTTTTTTTTTGTTTTGAAATTGAAAAGGCCACTGGAAAAATAAATCAAATCATCATCAATTAATTAGCCAGGAGAAAAAAACAAAAAACAGTTGACATACTTATCATGATCATGAGATGTTCCCATTTTGTTTGTTGGTTTTTGGTTTTGTTGAATTTTTGAATGTTTTTTTCCGAAAAAAATTCTGAGAAATTTAGCAAAAAAGCAGATTTCGTTTCTAAGGAAAATCATCTTGTTTTTTTTTTGGAGGGGAATTATCAATTTTCATTACCAATTTCGTTTAGCTGATGAAAAAAAAACCGGTTAGTTGAAGATGCTGAAGATGAACACACCAAATCGAATCAACCAATCAAGGATAGAAAATTATTTCCGTAAAAAAAATTTTCTGGGTTAAAATCAAAAAAAAAAATCTGACCAGTTTTTTTTGCTGGGGAAATATTACGGAAATAAACGACCAAGGTAGTTGATGATCGATATGTTGACCAAAACAACTTGTTTTGGTTCAGAAAAAAGGTGAAAAAAATTGATGAAAAAAAATTCGAATGTTTTTTTCTGACCATTCTGTCCAGAACATGACAAATGAAAGCATCACCTTCATTCGAAACATTTAACAAAATAGCCACACAAAAAAAACATCATAATTATCATCGATAATGATGTCATCGACAACATTATCGTTACTGTTATTTGGAATAATTCAATTAATAACAAATTCAAAATGTATGAATATTATTGATGAAACATTATCATTATCACCATCACCATCATTATCATCGTCACCGTTGTCGCCATCGTCGATAATCGATCCATCCGATAATGAAACATTATTGAATTATGGACATCATCAGCCATCATTATCATCATCATCATCACCAGGATCATCATTATCATGGAATTTTACACAATGGTGGAATGTACGACAAGCTGATGATAATCAACAACTTTATAGTGAACCGATAATTATATTTCAAGAACCAACAAAATATTTACAACAATATGGTGATTTTGATCGATTCGGTCATATTGATTATCGACCACCATCTTTATCATCATCATCATCATCATCAAATAATGTCAATAGTCAAACAATAATGATCGGTACAAATGTTTTCCATATTGATCCAACATTTAGTCCACGTACATCGATCGATATTTTAAATCAAACTATTCGACAATATTTTTCACGTTCACGTCATTCATCTGATGATAAAATCTATTTACGTGATTTAAGGGAATCATTGAAAGATAAATTTCTTAGCTATGGATTAAAAACAGCATTTCATGTATTCAAAACTGAATATACACAGGATAAAACGGTAAAATTGATTTTTTCATCAAAAATTACCTGATTAATTGATTTTTTTTTGTTTGGCGCAACAGAAACGACAAACAGCAACAAATATTATTGCCATATTACCGGGTAAATATCGTGGAACACCAAAAGATGAAATCTATTTAATTGGTGCTCATTATGATACTGTAAGACGATCACCCGGTATTGATGATAATGGTTCTGGTTCGGCTGCTGTTCTTGAAATGGCTCGTTTATTGACCAAACATAAATGCTATTTTAACAAAACAATCATTTTTACATTATTCGATTTGGAAGAAGAGGTAGATATAGTTGATTTGTTTATTCCGGAAATAATTTTAAAATTTTTCTTTTAAAAATTACAAAAAATCAGTATCTAAAAGGTAGTAAATATTTTGTACAACAATATCTAATACCAACGGAAATACGTAAAAATCAGGCCAAATTTAATGGTGCCTATATTATGGATATGTTATTGGCCTATAATCAATCCGAATCCAGTCAATCATTACGTGATTTTTGGGTAAATTTTAAATATTAATTTGAAAAAAAAACTCTTTTTTTTACAATTTAAATCATTAACATTTTATAGCCAACATTACCAGCATTCGTTGAAGAGATTCAAGATGCAGGATCACGTGGAAATTTTATGACAGTATGGTCAAGACGAAATATTGATCATGATCTTTATTTTTTTCTGGAAAAAAATTGGAAAAATAAAAATTTTTTCCCGTTAAAATTAATGGATCCACCATTACCAACATTTAGCCATGAAGTATCGAAAAATTGGTCAAAATATTCAAAATATGGTACATTTGCACGAAGTGATCATGCAAGTTTTTGGTATCCAATCGAACGTGATACAACATTTCGTTCAATATTACTTAGCGATCTAGGACCATGGCGTAAAGATATGAGCTTTCATTATCATCGTTCTGGTGATGATCTTAGATGGTTACGACGTGAAAATCTTGAATTTATGAAAAATACTATCGATAGTCTTTTGGCAACCATAATCGATATTGGTGATGGTTATTGTTTTACACAAAAAATTTAAATCAAAAACAACAAACTTTATTCAATCAAAAATCAATTTTTAATCATATTATTTCTGAATTAGTAAAATTAATTAAAAACTATTGTATCAATTTGTTAATCAGCAAAAAAAAATATTCAAGATAAAATTTGATTATCAATTGATTAAATTGAAAAATAAACAATTAAACAAAACAAACAAAATAGATATCATCATTGAGTATCAGATTTGGGTGAAAGAAATGCACTAATCATTATCACAGATTTTACATTTTTCGGTTCATAGTCGTTAAAATATAATAATAAATAAATCAAAATTAATGAAAAAGATTAATAGCTGCACCAAGTGCCCAGCTTATTTCGATACCATCGATTTTTTTAACCAACATTATATCTTTGGTAGTTGGTAAACCAAGACCATAATGAAGATAACAAGCAATATATGTAAGATCGATACAAAGAAATGGATTTTGACGTTTAATTCGAATACTATTTCGGCAAATATTTTCAGCATAAAGAAAAAAATCCCCTACACGTACTTGACCATTATCATTACGTACAATACGAATATCTTTCATACGATCATAAAAATATGATATTGCATATATTTGTCGATGTTTCAATTCTTCCGGTTGATCAATATTTGCATTGATAATAAAATTTTCAACATTCGATAAACATTTATACCATGATATATCATCATCATCTTTATCACCATTATTATTATATTGAATATGATAAATATGATGATCTTGTCGCCAATGATATGTTTCATTATTTAAAATCTTAAAACAAGGACTACTTATCCAATATTCATAATTATAATCCATTCCAATCGATAATGATGATGATGATGATGATTTTGAATGATCAATATCCATAGCTAGGATTGAACGTCTTGCTGACATTAGACCAAGACCAAGATATGAATGTGTATAAATAAATTCTTGTTCACCTTCAATATATCTTTGTACAATATATTGATGTGATCGTATTAATGTATCAATATTATATGTTGAAAATGTTATCTGTGTTGATCCACCACCCAAATCTAATGTTGCTATTGATTCATTAATTTTATGTAATTTTTGTAATAAAAAATTTACTGTATACCATGCAAAAAGACCTTCATCATTTTCTTCAAGCATTGTAACCGAATTATTATCAACTTTAAATGGTAATGAATAAAATTGTTGTTGAACATGATAAAGAATACGATTAGCATCATTGTTTGAAAGTAAACGTAAACCAGCTGTTGCTTTCAATATGATTGGTGTTTGTTTTGTAAGGAAACCTGGAACAATATTCAATGCTTTATCGATTAATGGTTGTAAATTTTCGGTTAATTCTGTTAGATTATCATTAAATGATGATAGACCGGGTGTTGTATGAAAAAAATCTTCACGTTCTAATAGAATTTTTTGTTGTCGAATATCATTATTGATTGCAAATGCAAATACATGTATACGTGTACCGGTACTACCACCATCAAGAATAATGACAAAATTCTGTTCTTTAATCATATTTTTAGTCAATTCGATTGGATGTCGTATCAATTGTGTACCCAAATATTTTGAATCAAATGAAAAAAATGGTCCGGTAATCGATATGGCCGTAACCAATATAAACAATACATACAATTGTTTTGTCATAATTTTCGTCGATATAAATGAAATGAATGTCATTGTCGTTGTTGTCGATTTCATTATTTGATTGCAGTTAATATAGGATTGATTTAATTGAAATTCCAAATACTGAAAGTTCAATTAACCATTATTTTCGATGATGATGATGATCGTTTGTTGTATACAAATGATGATCGAATACATAATAATTTGAAAAATTTAAACATTGATCAAATAAAATATCAAATTACAAAATTAAAATTATCATTCATTCACTATCAATGAACGAATAATTGATTTATCATTGAAAAACCAAAACTTACCGGTTTTTTCTTGAATTTTTCAAATTACTTTTCTTTTCTAATTAAACTACCACCACCATCATCATTATCATCAAAGATAAACAATAACCATTTACTTTATTTTAAGTTAATGACATTATCTTTAATGATAAATTAATGATGATATCTTAAATGGTCAAATCATGAATTGATGGTAAACGAAATTATCATCCTCAACAAAAAAAAATAAAATAATCAAAATTGCAATACACAATCCGCAATGTTTACTTTCGACCATTTTGACTCTTCGATCAATATAGTCATCATATAAGAAAAAAGAAAAACAGCGCATGTGTAAATCGAAAACTAATTTTTTTGGATTCGAATTTCAGACAGGCATCGTAATTTTTCATTTCAATATTTTTTCTTCGACCAAAACCCACCCATTCCAAACGAAATGAATTATCATTTTGAAAAAAAAGGAAAACTTTTGTAATCGATTTTAAATTAAAAAGAAAATAAATTTCTTTTCTTTTCTCAGCAAACAAAAAACAAAATCGATTTCAATTACATCAGATCTCTCTTTCTCTCTCTCATCTGCGCCTAACTTCAAAAGAATGATTATCATTTGCTTCAGCTGAAAATGAAACGAAACGAAATAACAACTTGTTTTATATTGTCTTTAAGTTTCTATTCTATTTTTGTCCAATCTGTCATTCATTCATTCATTCATTTATTCATGATGAAACCAAGAAATACATTTTTTTTCTCTCCTAATGGAAGAAAAAGAGAGAGAGAAGTTTTCTTTGATAAATCGATCCAAGATGATGATTTTAAAGAGAAGATGGTAAAATACAATAGAAATTCGACTCTCTTTTTTTTACCGTTTGTTTGTTGTTGTTCATAATTTTTTTCTCTCTCTCTCTCTTCATCTTGTCTACTAATGATTATTTTACATTTTATTGAAAACGTGGATGATAATTTCAATGATTTTTTTTCAGTTAAATAATATGAATAACGGGAATATGAAAAAAAGAAAATATTCACTATTCATCATATGTGTCGATCAATCAGTGAATCGATTTGTTGTACAATATCGACAATTTCTTCATCTTCTTCTTCTTCTTCATCATCTTCTATTTGCTCGTCGTTGTTGTTCTTCTTGGCCAAAATCAAAATCATAGCTTGACTTCAAAAAGCGTGAAATATTTCTACATTTTTCGTTGTTGTTGTTGTTATTGTCGGATAACCTGTATTTCGGTCAATCATAACTATTCGGGTTTTCAATTTTTTATTTTATCGGTTGGATTTCCACAGAAGAAAAAAAACAGCAGCAACAAGGAAAATTTTGATTATATAATTTGTTAAGAAAAAAATTTTTTTTAATTTCTTTGTGAAAAAAAAAAGAAACTCAGCAAATAAAACAACGGTAGTTTTTCCATATTTATCACCTTTTTTAAAAAAAAACAACATAATTTTCTCACTCCATCATAATTTAATTTATTTTTTTAATTTTATGTCTTTTTCACAGGAAAAAAACCACATTTAAAACTTGTTGATTTCTACATGATCGAATCATCACTTGAATAATAAATCAATAAATCAATTTTCTTTTTTCATCATTCAATCAATCAATCAGTAACTAATTAATTAATTAATTGGTAAGTGATAATTTTTCTTTTTCTTTTTCTTTTTAACTAAAAACAAACAAACAAAATTCATGTTAAATAATTTACAATAATGATATTGACTACCAACATAATAATAAATATAATATAATATCCGGGTCTATTTCCACTTTTTTTTGTTTTGGTTGTAAAAATGATTGAGACACAGAACACACACCAAACTTGTGACATACATTTCATTTTGTTCCAAATTTATTTGTGAAGAAAAAATAAAATGTTTGCCTTGTTTGTTTTTATTGTTGCCTCGACCAATAAATCAATAGAGCTATAGAAAGAGAGAGAGAGAGAGCTTGTTAAATAATAATGATCGATCTATTTCCATTGAACATTGTTGACAAATATTTTTTTTTGTTTGATGACATACAGATATCATTTCATTTTTGTCAATTTCAATAATCATCAAATCATGATTATTAACATTATTATTTGATTGATTTTTTTGTTTGTTTGTTTCATCGAGACAACAAAATTATTAATTTCAATTTTTTTTTCTTGGGATTGTCAAAATCAAATTCAATGAACATGTCAAACAAAAAACAAACAAACAAAAAATCCTATATTAACATGAAAAGTCTGTCATCCGGCGCCGTGTTGTGTTTTGTATAAATAGTCGCCGTTTTTTTCGATGCTGATGATAATTGAAATCCATAGGAAATTTGAAACATGACCCGATTTATATCCATTCATCGGATTTAATTCTGTCAATTGTTGTATTGTATTTTTGCCATGTAGGTGTTCTGTTCAGTTTAAAGTTTTTTTTCTAAAATATTCAATTTTTTAAATTCATCACAGAACAAACACAATGTTTTTTTTTCACAATGACAGGTTGTAAATCCTTCACTCACAATGATGATGAAAACCTATGATTTTCGTTTCAATCTTTTCATCCATTATTGATTTGATAAATTGATGATAACCGTTATTATCCATTTTAAAATTTAAATAAAAATGTATTTAATATATACCCAGAAAATATATTTTTTCGTTGACAAAACAAACGAGATTCAAGGAAAATTCTTGTTTTTCTATCTACTTTCAACCGATTTGATTGCTGTCCACCAGATTGGTCAAAAATTTCCTTGATAAAATAACAAAAAAAAAGAAGAAAATAATTGAAAAAAGGAGGATGCTTAAATTGATTATCAGGAATTAAATTTTTTATTGCAATTTCTTTCAACTTAAAAAGTCAGGATAAAATTATTTATTTTATAAAACAAAAATTATCAAGAAAACTAGTCAATTTTCCTCGTTTGTTTTTTATTATCATCATCATCATTTGATTGAATAAAATGATGGTGACATTTTCTCAGTTTGAAATTCATTCAAATTTTTGTTCATTTTAGTGATCAATTCAATTCTTTTTGTTTTATTTCAACCCAAAAAAAAACATACAAACCAACAAATAAAAAATGAATATAATTCAAAAAATCTGTGATGGAATCTGGTATTGTTTACATCAATATTGGATCGATGAAGCCGATCAACGTACTAAACATTTACCAATGTTTGATAATGGTCTTGAAATTCCATTATTATTATTATTAATTTATCTAATTTTTGTTAAAATAATTGGTCCATGGTTTATGAAAAATCGTAAACCATTCGATTTATTTTTACCAATGTTATTATATGATTTATTTATGACCATTTCAAATGGTATAATATTTTTTTCAATATTATTATTTCATATTGATTTTGGACGAAGATTTTTATTATTTAAATTTCCTGATCGTAATGATTATTCTATTCAAACAATGAATGAAATTAATAATGGTTATCTTTGTTATCTAACACGTTGGGCTGATCTATTGGATACAGTATTTTTTGTTCTACGAAAAAAACAACAACAAATAACATTTTTACATCTTTATCATCATACATTAGTACCAATAATTGGTTGGATGGTATTGAAAATAACACCATTAGCACCTGTTGTTATATTATTTTTTATGATAAATTCATTTATTCATATGATTATGTATTTATATTATGCATTAGCTGCATTTGGTAATCGTTTTCGTAAATATCTTTGGTGGAAAAAATTTATAACACAATTACAATTAATACAATTTCTTATATTTGGTTTTTATTCAATTGTTATGTTATTTTTAGCCAAAGGTTTTCCATCATTTATTTTTTGGTTAGGTTTTGCACAGAATCCATTCTTTTTCTATATGTTTTATGATTTTTATCGTAAATCATATTTGAATAAAAATAAACAAAATAGCAACAGTAAACGATAATTTTTTAAATTCTTTAACTTTTTTCTTTTAATAAAAATTTTAAAATATTAAACTTTTTTTTGTAAACAAAAAACTTTTCTGACTTATTTTATCTAATATTTTAGATTTTGAAACAAAACAAAAAAAAATTCTTGAATCAAACCAAAAACAAACAAATTTAAATGGCCATAATGATAATGAAACGTATTTGGAATGGATTCTGGTATTGTTTTCATGATTATTGGATAGAAGCTGCCGATCCACGTACAAAAAATTTTCCATTAATTGAATCCGGTCCTGAACCAGTAATATTTATGTTATTAATCTATTTATTATTTGTTAAATTTATTGGACCATGGTTTATGCATAATCGTCAACCATTCATATTACGTATACCGATGTTAATCTATAATATCAGTATGGTAGTGATTAATTTATTTTTATTTTTATTCATTTTATCACGTATGGATTATGGACGAAGACTTTTAATATTTAAATTTCCTGATCCAAATGATTTTTCACCGGATATTTTGCATGAAATACGTATCGGTTATTTTTGCTATCTAACACGTTGGGCTGATCTATTGGATACAGTATTTTTTGTTTTACGAAAAAAATATCAACAAATAACATTTTTACATCTTTATCATCATACATTAGTACCATTAATTGGTTGGATGACAGTGAAAATTTCACCACAAGCACCTGTTGTTGGATTATTTTTACTATTAAATACATTTATACATTCTATTATGTATCTGTATTATGCATTGGCTGCATTCGGTCCTGGTATACAGAAATATCTTTGGTGGAAAAAATATATTACACAATTACAATTAACACAATTTGTTATATGTGGTCTATATAGTATTGTTATGCTATTTTTACAGGAAGGATTTCCACCCGGTCTTTTTTGGATCGGTTTTGCCCAAAATCCATTCTTTTTCTATATGTTTTATGATTTTTATCAAAAATCTTATCGTAAAAAACAACAACAACAACAAAAACAATTTGAATTGTCAACAACAGCTTTAAAACATGAAAAAATTCATTGAAAAAAAAACATTTGTTGTTGTTGCTGTTGCTGTTTTCTCTCTGTTTCAATTGGAATTATAATCGGGATTTTTTTTTCATCAGAATAAATTTTGTTTTGTTGTTGTTTTTATCTAATTTTTGAATCTGATTTTGGTTTTTATTTTTTATATTTAGAAAAACATTTTAAAATTTTATATTAAAATTTAAGTTTTTTTTGTTGTTGTTGTTGATAACCTCGTTTTTTTTACCTTTACAATAAAGCATCGATTTCAACATTAATGAACCTAATGTTGACGAAATAGACGATGAAATACAAATGTGTTTTATTTTTTTCATCATTATTTTCAGTGATGTAAAAATGTTTGATGATTAAATACAGGAAAAATATATTGGTCATCGTCATCGTTTCTTGTCTCTTCATACCACTTTCTGTGTGTATATCTTTACATCGATAAGTTTGTTTAATTTTTCTTCATTATTGAGCGTTGTTGATCATCAAACCCATTATTTCACTTAAGTAAGTAATCAGTAAATACTAAGTTTGTTCTTTTCGATTCGAATTAATTTGTTATTTTTTTGTTGTTGATAAAATCAAAAATCTTTAGAAAACAAATGGATACCGATGAAATTCTTGAACCATTAGAACCATCTATACGAAATATTATTGAACAGAAAACATTAAAATGGATATTTGTTGGTGGTAAAGGTGGTGTAGGTAAAACAACATGTTCATGTTCATTATCAGTACAATTAGCTAAAGTTCGTGATAGTGTATTGATCATATCGACTGATCCGGCACATAATATCAGTGATGCTTTTAATCAGAAATTTTCCAAAATACCAACATTGGTCAATGGTTTTGATAATCTTTATGCAATGGAAATTGATCCAAATCTTGGTACAGAACAATTACCGGATGATTTTTTTCAACAAGATGATCCAATGCGTTCAGCAAAAGGTATTATTAAAGATTTATTGGGTTCATTTCCCGGTATTGATGAAGCAATGTCATATGGTGAAGTAATGAAATTAGTTAAATCAATGAATTATGATGTTGTTGTTTTTGATACGGCACCAACTGGACATACATTACGTTTATTAACATTTCCAACAATAGTGGAAAAAAGTTTAGGAAGTTTTCTACGTATCAAATCACAATTTAGTTCAATGTTTAGTTCATTGTCAACAATGTTAGGTTTACAAAGTAATTCCGGTGAAATGATTAATTCAAAAATTGAAGAATTATTACCAATAATCAAAACTATTAATGAACAATTTAAAAATCCTGAACAAACAACATTTGTTTGTGTTTGTATTGCTGAATTTTTATCACTTTATGAAACTGAACGTTTAGTACAAGAATTAACTAAAATGAATATCGATACACATAATATTATTGTTAATCAATTAATTCTTTATCCGGATGGTCAACCAATCAATTGTAATGTATGCCGTGCAAGAATTCGTATACAACAAAAATATTTAAATCAAATTGAAGATTTATATGAAGATTTTCATGTTACAAAATTACCATTATTAGATGATGAAGTACGTGGATCCGAACGTGTTATTGAATTCAGTAAAAATCTAATCGAACCATATAATCCAAATCGATCATCTTGAACTAATTTTATTTTTTATTTTTTTAAATTTTGGCCATTTTTTTCTGGCTTTTGTGTAATGAGATTTTATTTCATCTTTTTTTCTCAATTTTCTTATCATTTATCCGAAACAACAAACAAAAAAAAACAAAAAATTAAATGAAAAAATAATTTTTTTTTCAAAGTTTTAAATAAAACTAAATTAATTTTTATTCAGATTATGTTATTATTATGCAACAAAACAAAAACTACGTTTTAATTTTTTTTTTCTGTTTAAAAAATGGAATCCAAAATTTTTTTTTTATGAACCTTCAAGAATGACAGAAAAATAGGTAATTATTGCCGTCAGCATCTGAATAAAAAAAAAAGATGAGAGAAAGGAATTTTATCAAAATTCAGGTAAAAAACACTTACACTTGAAATAAGACCACCAGTCAATACAAATGAATCCATTATTGTTAAACCTGTTGTTGTATTCGATATACGTTGCATAAATAATGTTGATTGTAATTGAACGCTTTCAGGTAGATTATCAAATTTATTAACACCATGCATTGCATAATATGGTTCATGTGCTTTGGTTGTAATCTGTGCCGATAATACCGAAACACAATAAACCTGAAATAGATCACCAAAAATCATTGTTGCTGCTAATAATAATCTACCTTCAGTAGTATATTGTGATGAAAATAATATCTGATAAAATACAAAACAAATATGTGGTGCAAATATTATATAGAATACAAATAGATAATATTTAAGATGTTTATTTGCATGTTTAACCATTTCACCAATATTATAATGTTTTATAATTAGACCACTTAATTGTTCCGGTTTTGTATGTGAAGCACGATCACTTAATACAGCATATTCAAGATCACGTTTAATTTCATCATAACGAATATGTATTGCATGACATATTAGATAATGATGACCTAATGCTGTCCAATTGATTATCATTGTTAACCAACCTTGTATGATTGTTACGGTAAACCAAAATAAATTCATTATAAATGCTATTTGACCATATTTTTCATCATTAAATAATTGTTTGCTTAGTTCCATTTGTAATGAAACCAACATTACTACAATTGTCGTTATTGTTATACCGATAACCGATGTTTTGATGAATAAACGTGCCCACCATAATGCCGATATCATACGTCGACGAAATTCTGGTTCAATATTTTTATTAACATAATATGATGTTTCCGTATATAAACAATCAAAATTTATTAACCATTTTCGCATATGATTACGTTTTCTTTAAAAAAAATATTTTTTTTTATGAACAATCAATGAAGAGACAATGAACATAATTATCTAATATTAGTTACCTTGTGATCCAAAAATAACAAAATGTTGCATTTGCATTCCAACAAAATATAAACAAATGCAATGCTAAACGATCTAAATGTGGACCGAATAATATGACCAAATCACTTATATAAATACTAATCAATTGATCATTTTGGTCATCAAGTTGATTACCACGATAAACAACCCAACCAATACAGATAATCTGTTTGATTAACATAATGATAAGAAATAAACGCCAGAAAATGATTGTAAATCGTTTCGAATCATTTATGACACGAATATTAATACGATCAACACAATCTTCAATAGTTTTTAATGGGCCACCATCTTTTGGTATGAATTCACGTTCAAAAAGATTACAGCCAATTAGACGTGCCATTGATTCAAATTGCCAAAGATAATCATGAAAATATTTAAAATCCATTGTCGATTGTGAACCACGAAATATTGCCGTACGATCATGTCGTAATTTTGATGGATCTATTGTATTATGATACCATGTTCGATATGGATGATTATGATCGCCGATGGCAATACCATTGCTACGGATATTTTGATTCGGAAATATCCGATTATGTTGTTGTGATTTTGACATTCGAGTTTTCCTATCAAAATCGTTCACTTTAATTATCAATGATGATGACCAACGTGAATTTCGAGAATTATTTTTCTTGCCAAATGAAATTTTGGCTAAAATAGATCTTACTAAACTTTTAAAGTATTCGATCATCACTACACAATAACATTGTATAACGAAAAATGATTATACCGACCAACAAAAATATTTGAAACAAAAAAAACAACGCGAAAAAAATCGATCCAAATTATGTCCTAACAAAAAGATTTGATTTTTTGAAGGGCAACGATGAGAAAATGATCAACTGATTGCCATTATACTTTAATGGCTGATATGGTTTTGAATTTCATTGGATCGATTTATGGAAAACAAAAAACATTATTTCAAGAAAAAAAACATCTTTTATGAATATTACGTCCGAATTATATTACTATTAAACACGCCATTGAATTCATCATCATTATCATTATCCGGAAACCTTGTCTTTGAAACAAAATGTCAACATGGTCAAAAATCAATCAAAATTTGTTTTTACCAAAAAAATCATTTCATTGATCATTTCCAAAATGATGACGACAGTTATATAATAAAATTTTCATTGTTTTTTTCTCATTCTGGGTTTGTTCTCATATTACAAATGATGGATATTATAATAAGAAATATGTAGATGATGATAGTGAAAAATTATTAATCAGTGTTTCAAAATAAATGGATGGAAAAAAACGAGAGAGAGAGAGAGAAAGAAAATGTAAAATAAAAAAAAAGAATGCAAAGATACTTTTCAAATTGATGTGATGAAAATAATATGCAAAAGAATTCAAAAGTACCAAAAATATTAATCCATTCATTTATCATTCATCATTGGATTTCAATATCGTCGATTACGTTTTCCATAATTATTATTACCATTTTCATGATTCATTCCAGATTGTTGTTGTTGTTGCTGTTGTTGAGATGGGGGTTGTTGACCATATAATTGTGGTGGTGGAACACCATTATAAGGTACAATCGGTACCGGTTGTTGCATTTGTCCGCCAGGATGATGACCAGGCATTGATGGAGGTGGTACACCACCATAAGGATGATGATGATGATTCATTTGTGGATGTTGTGGTGGTTGTTGTGGCTGCTGTTGTTGTTGTTGCTGCTGATGTTGCGAATGTGGAGGTGGTAAACCACCAAAATGATGATTCTGTTGATGACCATATGGATTTGCAGGACCATGTGGCTGTGATGGTTGTATCGGTCCAATCAATCCAGACATTGGTGTTTGATGTGGCGGCGGAACTGGCTGTGGTGGACCATTACCAACATTATTACCAGGCATCATTTGTGATTGTTGTTGTCCATACATTTGTGAATCCATCTACAGATGTCAACAAAAAAAAATTCAAAAAAAAGAAGGAAAAAAATCACTAAACAACTTACATGTTGTCCCATCGGATCCATTTGACGTAACGATTGTTCTTGTCGTTCAAGCATCTGATGTAAGGTTGTTACTTGTTGCCGAAGATCACTTTCCTGTCGTCGTAACATATTCATTTCATTTGGTGTATGCTGTTGACCACCCATCAATTGTTCTTCCTGTTGTCGCATAACATTTTCATGGTGTCGACGCATTTCTTCACGTTGTCGTTCATAATCTTGTCGTGAATCACGTTCAACATTCATATGTTGTACTTGTGATTCCATTCGTTGTAATTGTTCACGTAATCGTTTGGTTTCCTCTTCCAATCGAAAATATTCCATTTGTACAACAAAATTTTCACGTTTTTGTTGCATTTCCGCCTCGAATGCTTGTCGTCGTTCGGCTTCATGTTGAATAAAATCTTTCCATTTTTTTGCAATTTCATTTTCAATAGTACTTGGTTCGGAAAATCTGGGCCCAATTTCACGTTCACGACGATAATCCGATTGATATTGAATATTTTTTTCCGGCACACCTTCTTCTTCATCACGTGATTCAAGCGATGTAGCTACACAAGGAAGTGGTGATGCCGTTAATAATAGACATTCATTTGTACATTTTTTAATCGCTGCTTGAGCCGAGGATTTACGTGCAAATTCAACAATGCCTTCATTTATTGAACGACCACGATCATCGGCAACAACAATGGCACGTTCAACTGGACCAAATGTACTGAATGCAAACTGTAATAATTCATTGGAAACACATGGCGGAAGATTGGTTACTTTGATCGCAGCAGCATGAGCAGCAAGACGTACACGTAATGTACGACCTTCGAATGGTTTACCATCCAATGCATTTTTTGCATTTTCTGCATTACTACGTGTATCCATTTTAATGAATGCAAATTGATTTCCTTTTCCGATGAATATTTCAGATATTTGTCCAAATTCAGAGAATAATTTACGTAATGCTTCTTCGGTTGCTGTAGATGGTAGATTGGCTACGAATAAACGACATCTTCCTATAATATGAATAGTAAATTGATAAAATAAGAACAACAAACAAGCAAATTTAAAATCAAACCTGTAAATGTTTGGGTTGATTGATCTGGCGGTGGAAATTCAAATATTGGCTGTCCAGTTAAACGTGGACCAATCATTGACGATGATGGCATACCATTATAATTAGCAGATAATTGATCACCATCTTGATTATGATGATAATGTGGATGATTACTATTTGATTTACGTTTTTTATTCTGTTGTTGTTTATTCTGCGATTGTTGTTGATTATCCGATGGTTGTTGTTGATGTTGTGAATCAATATCAGAATCAGATTTATTTCTATTAAATGTTTTTGGATTACCACCACCACCGCCTCCTGTATTATTATTAGATGATGGATTATTATTATTATTATTATTATCCATTGATGAACGAATATTAATTTTAATATTACTTGATGATCCAGTAGATGTTGGCTGTTGTTGATTGTTTGTTTGATTCACCTTAACCGGCGTTGATGATGCGGATGGAGATTGTTTCACTTCGGCCATCATCATCATCAATTGTTATTATTTATTCAATTAATAATGACAATGATGAATATATTTTTTCAAAATAAAATTGTTTATCATGGACAACCTAAAATTTTTGAAAACAAAACAAAATTTAAGAATTTCAGTTTGGTCGGATAAAAAAAAACCACTCGCACACATACACAAGACATGAGCGACAGACAATGGTGTTTTTTTTTCAATTCCAAATATACCTTCTTCTATATAATGAATAATGATGAATCCAAATAAGAATCCAGAAACGAAAAGGTTCCAAAGTTTGAAGAAAACGATGATAACCAAAAATTGTGTGCTGACTTGGTGTGAGAGAAAAATGCAGATTTTATTCGAACGAACAAAAAAAAAAATTAAAAGAACTCATTTCAGCTGTATGGAATAGTAGTAGTGGTAGCGGTATCATCGGACATTATTAAATAACAATGGCGGATCCTTTTTCTCTATATCATCATCATATACTGTTACTACATTCAAAAAAAAAAAGGATTCTTGTATTCGATTTATACATGCGCTGTAATCAAGAATCTTGGAGAAAAGAATTTTCAAAAAAAAACAAGTTTATTTCAATTTTTGAAGTTTAAATCAAAAGAAAAAAAAATTCAAAAATATATCAAAATATCTGTATTGACTTGTCATTTCAGTTAGATTTGATTCGGTGGTAAAATTGGTTTAGGTGAAAAAAATGTTTGTTTAGTTTCAAATGATCATGACCACCAATAATTGATGGAAAAACTATCACTATATGATCGAACAAAATGCCACCAATTTTTTGGTATAAACAATACATCACCTTCATTAAGAAAACAATCATGTATAAGATTTGGATGAATATTTTTAAATTCTGGATGTAATTCTTCATCAACATTTTCAAAATCTACTTGTGATGTATTCCATAATAATGAATCTTTTGGATTTGGATAGATTTGTTTATCCGATGTTTCGGGTGAATAAAGACGAACATATTTGGTACCAATCACTTGTAAAAAGAAATTATTACGACCATCAAAATGTAATGGTGATATAGTACCGGCCGGTCCAAACCAGGCATTAATTTCAAAATTTATGGCCGAATTTAGTTTTTTATCATCATCATCATCATCATCATGATCATTAGATGAATCACTGATAGCACAATAAATTGGTACATCAATATCATAATGAAGATCAATAATCTGATCAAATAGATTATGTTGTGCCATATAACCAATCGGTTTTGAATGTTGAAAAATCCATTTTTCCATAAATTCATAAATGAACATAATTTTTTGTGACCAATCATCCGATGTATATTTTGATCCAATTTCAACCGGTACACGACGAAATGCCATTTTTTTAAGCAAATATTTTAACGACCATTTTCGTTCATTTAAACAAGGCCAATCATTAAAACCACGTTTAATAATGAATGGACGATTTTGTCGTAGAAAATTTTGTTCAAATTCTAACATTTCTAATTGATGATCAATAGTTTTGATTGGAAAACGAAGCATATCTAATGGAAAATATAAATTACGATTGGTTTCAAATTTTTTCTCTGCCAAAGTATTCCATTGTTTCCATTTCAAATTCCATTCAAATTGTACGTTTGGTGATAAACGATCCAAAATCATGACTAAAACTTGATGTAAAATGGAAGCCATTTTGGATAATAATCGATTTCGTAAATCAGGACTCATAATAAGACCATCATCCAATAGTTTTAATGATTCGATCAATAAATCGATAATATTATTTGTTGGAATTTGTATTGTTAACAATATTAATAATGATTGTAACCATTTATGATATGAATAAATCATACGTGAAAATATTGAAACATTTGCCCACATACCGGTATGTATTTGTTCCCATAATTTATCAGTAATAATTGTTGACCAACGTATTGCTAATTCATAGAATGATCCACGTGAATTATCAAAACCACAATCACAATTGGATTCATTAAAAAATTTAACAAATTTTTTTTCAGAAAAAATTCGTATGAAATCTGAAACCACTTTATCAACATATTCTTCAGTAAAATCATGTGCATTTTTTAATGTTAAATTATCGATCATATTTTCATTATCACCATTATTGATTTCAGTTGCCAGTTGTAATGATTGCCAACTTTGACTATTATTACATTGATCTAAATGACAAAATTTATGTCCATAAATTGTTTCGAATTCCTGTACAAATTCTCGAACAATCGAATGTATTATGAATATTTGAATCGAATGATTTGGTAACTGTTTAGAACCATTGGCAATATTTTTATCCACAAATTCCAGAATAGATGACTAATTTTTCAAAAATCAAATGATCAATCATAACGAAAATAAAACTAAAAAAAACAAACATACCTTTTGTTCGATGTTGGCCATATTGTTCACACAGAATGAATGAATCGATTAACAACGATGCTTACCGCGCGCGAACACAGACATGCATAAATGTTTACCACAGTTATGGTTACATCATAGGCTCTTGATTTAAATTTATTGTTCAAATTACCAGCTACCATCACCGCCATCATCTTCATCAACAAAATATTGATGCAAATGTAAACCAATTTTTTTTTTTTTTTTTGGTTCACCATCATCGAACGAAAAAATTATCGTATGTTTTTTTTCTTTATTGGGCGGAGTTTATTCAAAGAACAGCCAAAAAAAAAAGAAAAAAAAATTATCCAATTCATATTGGAAAAGTATATCCGGAAAATATTGAATATATTTCATTGTATAAATTCAAATTAGAATTGTTTTGTTTGAATAGAATATTCTTTGGATTCTGTTTATTCTATAAACAACAACAACAATAACAGAATTATCAAATTTCACTAATCTTTCGTATAGAATTAGTTGTTATTTATAGAATAAAAATATTCAATGTTGATGAGGGGAAATGTGGAAAGAAACGAATACATCATCATTCGATGTAAGCTGACATTTAAAAATTCATTTATTTTAATAAATTTTTGGTATTGAATCTCCAATGCAAAAAAGAGTGGCCAAAAAAATTTCAATTTAAATCATCATCAAGATTTTTTTTTCATCATCATCATGACCACCAAGCAAAAAAGTCGATGACCAAGATAACGATCAAATTAACAAGTGAAAACGAAAATATCCGGAAATTAATCGATCAACAACACCAAAATACAACGATTTCTCTCCAAAAATTTGTTTATATATTTTTTTCTCGCATTTTGCTCAATCAAAGGATGGTAAGCAATAAAAATATATCCTGTAATGTAATATATTTAAAAAACATTGATTTTTTTTTCTTGTTTTGATTTAGGTTTTTTGGTTTCGAACAAACATTTTTTCTTTTTCACATCGTCATCATCCATCCAGTGTGCTATATACATACATACATCGAAAAAAAGAGAAAGCTTTTCATCCTTATAACAACTACATGATAACAACATTTAAAAATTTTTGAATTTATTGTGCCATCATCATCATCATCATCATCATCATTTAATCATTAAATCAATTAAAGAAAAGTACATACACCTACGATAATGATTATTATCATCATTCATATTTATAAAATTAATAACGATGTTGAGAGAAGAAAAGATTTAAAGTAAAAAAAAAAAAAAGAAATCATCCGATTTACACAATGACAACGATCCAACAAAAGTGACAACAACATGTTGGATTACCATTATCTGATCTCCGATTTTTTTTAGTGATTTTTTTTTAAATTTATAAAATAAAAACAATGAATTTTTAATTATCATAATTTTTTTGTAATGATAATCATTTTATTTAAATGATTGTCTTATTATCATCACAAATCAATCATTATTATCATCAAAAAAATTAAGTAAATTTATCATTGATTTTGAATTTTAAATTCAAAAAACAAACAAACAAAGCCACAAACAAACAACAAACCCACAAAGGTAGTAATAGTGGACAACAAGATCGACAAGAATAAAAAAAAAGATAATGGCAATTCGTTTAAGAATTATAATCGCTATACTTGGTTCATATGCATGTTCATTAGTTTATATGCATCGTTCCGGTATTAGTGTTGCTGTTGTTGCAATGACTAAAAATCCTGTTGTTGATCAAAATCAAAACATATCGTCATCATCATTCAATTATACCTCATCATCCATATCCGATCAACCATTATATGATTGGAGTGAAACATTACAGGTAAATTGATTTTGGATTGATTTTTATTGGAAGTTTTTTGAAAAATTAATGAAATTTTTTTTCATGAAAAAATAAAAAGGGTATTATACTTGGTGCACAATTTTATCTTTATATTTTTGTACCAACATTAGCCGGTAGAGCAACTGATGCAATTGGTGGTAAATGGATTGCATTTTTCGGTGCATTAGGTCCATGTATTTTAGCTTTATTAACACCTGTTATGATTGAATTTGGTAATGCATGGGCATTAATTATTAATCGTATTTTGGTTGGTGGTTTTCATGGTTTTACATATGCAGCAATGTTTTCATTATATGTTAAATGGTTTCCAATAAAAGAATTATCGATGGCAAATTCTGGTTTAATATTTGGTGGTTCAATTGGTTCAACAATAATGTCAGCATTAGCCGGTTATATTGCACAATATTGGTCATGGCAAGCTGTTTTTTATGTTATTGCATTATTTCATTTACCATTCTTAATTTTATGGTTTATTTTATCGACAAACGAACCGGATACAAATCGTTTTATATCATCTGAAGAACTTATCTATATACAACAAAATGTTCAACAAAAAATTATTTCGGTAAAATTTTATTTATATTTTAACAAAATTATTTTCATCATTTTCCAATGTTTTCTTTTTCTTACAATGGATTTAGAAAAAAATTAAAGCACCATGGTTACGAATGATATTTTCTATACCGGTTTTATGTTCATTAATAACAAAAATGTGTTCGGGTTTTGGTTATTTTTTAATGATAACAAAATTACCATCATATTTGGAGAATGCATTTCAAATTGAATTATTTAAAAATGGTTGGGTTTATGCCGGTACAAATCTTGCCAATGGTTTAGCAAGTTTATTAGCACCAACAATTGCCAATGTTTTAATGAATCGTTTTGGTATTCGACGACTGATTGTACGGAAAATATTTCAATCAATAGCATTATTTGGACCGGCAATATGTTTAGGATTGATACCGGCATTCGGTTCAAAACCTGAACCAGTAATTGTAATGTTAATTATGGCAATGATGTTGTATGGATTTTTTAGTGCCGGTGAATGGACAATTATATCGGAATATGCACCAAATTTTGCCGGTACTGTATTTGGTATGGCCAATATTTTAGCATTTGCAATGGGTGTTGTTGCACCATATATTGTTGGCGTTCTATTGGATGATAAAAATTCAAATCATACTGATATGCAACAATGGAATAAAGTATTTTATATTGCCGTTATTATCTATGTTATTGGTGGATTAACATTTTTATTATTTGCAACTGATCAACAACAAACATGGGATCGTGATGTAATAATTATTAAAGATAATAATCATCATGATGATAATGATGATGAAAAATGTAAAGTAATTAATTCAAAAATTAGAAATCGATCGACAGAAATTAATACTAATAATAATAATAATAATGATAGTGATGATCGAACATCAATAACAATGACGTAAAAAACAAATTTACCTGACAATTTGTAAAACACACACACACACACACACAAGAATTAGAACAATAAAAAAAACGAAAAAGTTGTAAAATTATTATTTATGATTTTGTAAAATAGAAATAATAATAATAAAATTTTTTTTTTATAATTTACAATCAAATTTACAACTTACATCTGATGAATTGTTGATGAACTTTGATTTTCATAATTAATTAATTAAATTATAGAAAGAGGGTATTTATTTGCTGGTTTCCCAGGACAATACAAAACGAAACTGGTGATATTTGGTTGAAATAGAAAATTTTGTAAGGAATTTTTACAATTTAATTAAGTTAATGTGTCATTCTTATGATATTGATGAAAATCATTGTCGTTTGTTATTTGATCTGAAATCTGTTTCCTGAAACTATTATAATTAACAAAATTGTTACGCTTATTTAATATAATTATAATAATAATAATGAATATAATTGAAAGAAAATGGATAATTTCTATATTAGGAATGTATTCATGTGGTTTAATGTATGCAATACGTGCTGGTGTTGGTATTGCAATGGTTCGTATGACAATGAAAATTGATAATAATAATAATGGTACGAATACGGTTTCGAATGCACCGATATTTGATTGGAGTGAAACTTTACAGGTATGAATTATTTAAAAAATATTGTAATTTTCTTTAAATTTGAATTGAAATTTTTTCTTTTTTTTTGTTCAAATCAAAGGGTATAATATTAGGCGGTATATTTTATCTATATTGGATTGTACCGACAATTGTTGGCAATTATATTGAACAATATGGTGCAAAATGGTTTACATTGATCGGTGTTATTGGTCCTTGTATATTGACAGCAATAACACCATTAATAGCAACAATAAATGTTTATCTATTAATTATTGTTATGATTTTGATTGGTGCAACACAAGGTTTTATTTATCCATCATTATTTCATCTTTATGTACAATGGTTTCCACCGGAACAACGTTCAAAAGCAAATTCAGGTATACAAGTTGGACAATCAATTGGTGGTACATTAATGTATTTGATTGGTGGTTCACTTTGTAAAACATCGATTGGTTGGCCATTAATTTTTTATTTTGAAGCTGCACTTCATGTACCATGGATATTTTTATGGCTTTATTTTGGTTCCAATCATCCATCAGATATTGATTCCGGTGATAATGAACAAAACTTATCAAAAAATGTTGATCAAAAGGTTCGATTCTATTTTAAAATAAAAATCCCAATTTTGTTTCTAATTTTATTCCAAAAATTTAAATAGAATTCAAAACAAATTGAAACACCATGGTTAGCAATAATAAAATCCGGTGCAGTTTGGTCATCAATGTTAAGTAAATTTGCCTGTTCATATGGTTTTTATATGTTTTTAAGTAAAATTCCTGCCTATTTGGATCAAACATATAATGTTGATATAGTTGAAAATGGTTTTATTTGTGCCGGTGCATTCGGTAGTTATGGCTTATTATGTTTTATATCACCATATTTATCAAATTGGATGATAGATCAATTGAATATATCTAAATTAATAATACGAAGATTATTTCAAGCAATTGCAATGTTAATACCATGTTTATGTTTAATATTAATAACATTGATTAATCAAAAAACAATAATGATTATATTATTAATAATGGCAATGTTAAGTTATGGTTTTTTTACCGGTGGTGAATGGACAATGATTTCGGAATATGCACCAAATCTGGTTGGTGTTATCAGTGGTTTTACACATATATTGGGTTTTATTGCCGGATTTTTATCACCATATATTGTTGGTATGATATTGGATTCAGATTTAGGTGATGAACAATTTAAATGGAATATTTCATTCTGGATTAGTGCTGCATTATATTTAATTGGTTATATAGCATTTTTTTTCTTATCCACTGTTGAACAACAATATTGGGATAAAATTTGACCATAAAACAACAACAACAACAACAGAAAAAAAACATAATAAACAATAATTATAAAAAAAAACCAAATAATTAATCCAAAAATTTATTACATAATTACCTTGATTTTTTTTTATTTGAAAAATTTTTTGAGAAAAACTAATTTAAATTGTCAGATTTTTGTTGTTGTTGTATGAATTGATATGGATGGATGGATGGATGGATGATCCAAAGTTTGTTTGTTTGTTCAATAAATTTTCATAAATTAACGACAACAACAATACAATACAAATATTAATGATAATTTTTCTCGGGACATCTTTTAAATTGATGATGATGATGATGATGATGACGGATCTTTGATTCAAATGGAAAAAAAATATTATTATTATTAATAGGTTATGATGACGATAATGGTGATAATTACTTTTTTACAATCCTTTTATTTTTTTTTGTTGGTTGGTTGGTTGTTTTCTGTTAAGTGTGAGTGATGATCACATGGATGATGATGATGATGATGATTATAAAAACATTCAATTTTCCTCATTTATAAATAATCAATATTAATTTAAACATTTTATCGTTTTTTTTCTTTCTTCATAACTTTGTGAATTAATCTCGACAAAAAAACAACAACAACGAAAATTGCAACAACAACAAAAAAATGATTCAACAAAAATGGATCATATCATTATTGGGAATATATTCTTGTGCATTAATGTTTGCACAAAGAGCAGGTTTCAGTGTTGCTATGGTTCGTATGACAAGTTCATCAACAAAATTGGATAATTTAACTGAATCCGGTAATGGACCACCTTGTTATGATTGGAGTGAAACATTACAGGTAAGTGTATAAGAAGAAAAATCGTTAAAACTTGAGAAAATTAAGAAAAAAATTCTCCAAAAACGATTATAGGGTATTATATTAGGATCTTCATTCTATCTTTATTGGTTAATACCAACAATTGCTGGAAATTTTACGGAAAAATATGGTGGAAAATGGTTTGCATTTATCGGTGTTTTTATACCATGTGTAATGACAATGTTAATACCATGGGCAGCAAATCAAAATATTATTATATTAATTATCATACAGATAATTATCGGTGCAACACAAGCATTTACATATCCGGCATTATTTTATTTATATGTACAATGGTTTCCACCAGAACAACGATCAAAAGCAAATTCCGGTATTCAGATTGGTGTTTCACTTGGTAGTAGCATAATATATTTGATTGGTGGTTATCTTTGTGAAACATCTATTGGTTGGCCATTAGTATTTTATGTTTGTTCAGCATTTCATATACCATGGTTAATTCTTTGGCTTTATTTTGTTGATAATAATCCTGTTGTTGTTATTATCGAAAATAATGATGATGATGATAATAATGGAAAAATTAAAAATTTTCAAAATTTTGATGATAAACAACAAAAATCCAACGAAAAGGTTAGTTAATTTTGCTTTTGGTAGAAGAAATTTTTTTTCATTTTTTTTTCAAAAACAAAAATTTAGAAAAAAATTCCAACTACACCATGGTTAAAGATAATAACATCGACAGCTGTTTGGTCATCGATTATATCAAAATCGGCTTGTTCATATGGTTATTTTATGTTTCTTAGTAAATTACCATCATTTTTACATAGTGTTTATCATATCGATATTACCTATAATGGTTTTATTAATTCAGCAACAGCATTAGCATATGGTATTACATGTTTTCTTTCACCATATATTGTCAATCAAATGATTGTTAAACAATATTTTAAACGACCAGTAATCATACGTAAATTATCACAAACAATTGCAATGTTAGTACCGGCAATTTGTTTAATATTGATAACTATATTTGATAAAGAAGATGATAAAATTATTGTCATAATATTATTGATTATTGCAATGTTTGGATATGGTTTTGTAACCGGTGGTGAATGGACAATGGTATCGGATTATGCACCGAATTTTGTCGGTACTGTAAGCGGTATTACATTGATGTTAGGATTTATCAATGGTATATTGGCACCATATATTGTTGGTCTAATATTGGATTCAACAATTGCATCGACAATTATTCAACGATGGCATATTGCATTCTTAATCAGTGCTTTTTATTATATATTTGCCTTAATCATATTCATTATATTCGGTACTGATCAACAACAATATTGGGATGTTATCTAAAAAAAACAAAAACAAAAACAAAAATTTAATGAAAAAAAAATAATTATTATTTCAATAAAGGGTTAACCTTTCTTCCTTTTTTTTCATGATTATAATTGTAAAACAAAACTGGTTTCTCTTTCTATCAATCATCATCATTTCACCACTTTGAATGGTTGATTGTTTCGAGGTCATCATCATCATCATCATCATTATCGATGATCGAGGACAAATAAAATGATAAAAAATCGGGCAAAGGGCAAAGAATTGCACCGAATAGAACAGGATTGTTGTTGAGTTTTTTTCTCGCTCTCTCTTCGTTTTGCATTGTTGTTGTTGAATAATCTATGCAAATCTATGTTTCACACATAATAATCAACATTTGTCGAGTCGAAATGAAATAATGTTTGTGGTTGATTGAATTCATTGATCAACAAAATCACACCAATAACAACACAAAAATTGTTGACATTTCTACCAAAAAAATACAATTTGAAATTTGGAAAAAAAGGAACAAGAAGAAACTTTTTGTGGGGGGAAAAATAATGTCAAAAGCTTAATGTGGTGCCATCTTGTTAACTTTTTTCCTAAATTTTTTTTTTGATTAGATTAAAAAATAAATGTCAACGATAATAATTTTGAAATGAAAAACTTTAAAGTTTTTTTTTGTAGAAAAAAATATGGAACATTTTTGACAAAAAAAAAAAGAATTCATTCGAATTTCAAAAAAAGAAAAAGTGAAAATGTTTGAAAAAAACGCATGCGTCAATCGATACGATTATCGAATGTTTCATTATTTACCGGATATCTTCGTTCGGTTGAATCATGAATATTTTTTTTTCTCACAAATATTGGTCAAAAACAAAGGAAAAAAAACTTGTCATCCTGAATTATTTGTAATGTGATGATCATTATAATGTTATGTTGTTGTGAATGTACGTACGTACATGTATTTGAGAGTCACGTTTTGAAAATCTCAATCATCAATTTTCATAATTGAAAAACTGATAAATTGTAAAGTATACACTGTTTGATTTTTGGATACAGGGTGTTATTATCATTGTGAATCATTTTCATTTTACTATTTACTATGAATCACCCTGTTTATTGAATGATAATGTTTCGGGAAAATGAAATGAGGGCTCTTGGTTTCGAGCAAAAAACAAAAACAACAAAAATATTTTGAATCCAGTGTTCAATGTATGCATGAAGGGGGTGGTGGTAGATTCGATCCATCCATCCATCCATCCGACATGATGATAGAAACCAAACGTTACCCCCCAAAACATAATGGACAAATTGACAATATTTGTCCACCACCCACCCAACACACACACACATAATGACTGACCAAACAGATTTTCCGTTAATCAAAAAAAAAAAAACTTTTTGAAACCCAAAATTATAGATTTTTTTTTGGTACATTCGTTCCATTACCGACAAAATCATACGATTCGAATTTCGAATACCCAGACCTTCAACCGAAACTGAAAAAAAATATGCAAACAGGGAACAATCCTTCGTTGATTTGAATCATCATCATCATCAAATATTTAAAAAAAATTCTTGATTGGATTTTTCATCTCCAAGCAGGGAAAAAAAGAATTGCGAATTTTTGAAGAAAAAAAAAATAATGTTCCAATAAGGAAATCAAACATGACAACAACAACAACAACAAAAAATATGAAATACAATGATGATGATGATGGTGAAAGAAAGAAAGAAAAAAAAATGTTCCAAAACGAAAACAGGAACCATATATTATATGGTTTTGCTCTATGTGTATATGGTGTTTATATAGAAATGTATTTGGCTATAGTGAAAATTCAGTGTACGGAATTCATTATCTTTTAGTTTGAAAATGTCGGTATTTAATACATTGTGACTATAACTATATATACCTTATCGTATAGCCTTGAGACTTTTGAATGTTTGTGTGTGTAAATAGTGATATTTAGAAACATCATCATCAACAACAACAACAAAATTGAGTTTTTCTAGTTTTTTTGTGTGTTTGTTTGGACGGAAGTATTTCAATTTGATTTTTTTTTGTTTGTTTGTTATCACAAATAAGTTACCATAATTTGAATCAAATAGAACAAAAAAAAATCCTACAAAGAAATTATAATTTATACGGACATTGATTCAATCGAATCGAATAGGATAATGTCCATATAATTATTATTAAATTTCCTAAATTCTTATTTCCTCATAAACTATATTGACCCATCCGTTAATTGAGGTAGATGAATCAAAATAGGCGATGATGATGACGATGATGAAAAAAACAAGAATTTATGTATTTTGGATCATATAACCCGCGGATAATATTCAAGGAAACAAAAAATTTTTTCAATATTTTATGTTTGGATCATCGTTTTTTCTTTCTTTCTCTATCTTTTTTCTATCGTTCGGTTCGGTTCGGTTCGTTCTCTTTTCGTTCGCCAATATTTGATTTGTAAACAAAATGAACTTCAACAAAATCAATGAAAACAGAAAAGAAAAGAAAAGAAAAAGAAATTTCATTTCGTTGCTGTTTACATAAAATCATAAAATTCAGCAAAATGATAATAACAGTATGTGTGTGTTATTCAAGTGGTTTCATTGATTTGATTTGATTTTTTTTTTGATTGAATGATAATCAATAATGATGACATAAATAAATGATGTTTTTTTTCATATTAAAAAAAAGTTCCTTGTAATTGAGAAATATAAGGAAAAAAAATCACATCGATATCAATGATCAATTAATCAATTAATCAAAATGAAAATCAATCCAAAAAATAAAGAATCGAATCAACAAAATGATGGGCATGTTGGCCATGTTTATATACATTTAGGCAAATGACACCTAACTTTGCCACGAAATGTGGAAATTGTATTTTTTTTTTTTTTTTTTTTTGTTTTTTTCCCCAAAAACACAAAAGGGGGGGGGCTTTTTTTTTTTAAAAAAAAAA